GTGTGCGAGAGCCATCCAAATATACACAGAAATAACCTCAAACAAGGACGTTTGGTGAGAAACTTTTGCCAGGACAAAGGCAGAGCGACCTGCGGGGGCGGTTCAACCAACCGTGGATACACTGTGCGTGTAAATGGTGCCTTATTAAAATACCAAAAATTAACTAGTTGTTTTATTATCACATTTAAGCCTCAGAAAATGCATCTATATAAAATAATGTTTTTTGTGTGTACAGTGAATATTAATAGGTTTTTTAATAGGTTCAAAAATGATCCGCTCAAAGTTTTTCCAAAAGGCCAATTAACCCAAAACCGAGTAATAAATTTCGCTTAAATTTATACCTATTTTTTTGTTTCTCTGGACCAACGTTTCAGCCATTTACTGCGACATTCTTCTTCTTGGCTCTGTATTACATAAGCGGTTCAGCACACAATTGCGCTGGGTACAAGGCAGTAATGCAATTTACAGACGCCCAAAAATGTCCGCCCACCTTTGGGGCTATGGGCAGCAGCGTTACTTGGACTGGCCACATGCAGCCCCCTTCCGCCACCTTTTGCTCCGACTCCTTTCCAGCCTCTTTTCCAGCCTCTTTTCTTCTCTCCTGGGCGCAACAAATGTGGCAAAGTAATGTTGTTATTGCTGGTGGGGACGTCGTTGTTGTTGTTTTGTTTGGTGTGCCCATGCAATTCCCTGAACCGAGCGCACTTTTAGCTGAATTGATTTTTCCGATGGCCTCAACTGCGCATGCCGGGCAATAGTTCCGTCTCTCCCCAGTTTTCTCAGACCATTTTTCTCCGACAAACTCTAAATTGCATTTCTCTCAAACTACACACGCCTATATAAGTTTTTACATACAGTGGTTACTGTAACATGGTATTTGAAGGGTCATTTTACAGAAGACAAGAAAGGAAGAAAACTTCGAAAAGCCGAAGTTTTATACCCGTGCAGCTATAACAAAAATATAACATTCTATAAATTTGCTATATATAAAGTATTATGCATGTTTGTGATGTTGATTTTCCAATAAATTGTTTGATCTAGAATATTGATCTTGAATATAGTACTTAAATTGTTTTTTACCTAAAAAAATGTATTTTTGAATTTGTTAAATGGTTAAGTATATCTCGGGTTACAATTGCACATGCAAAAAAATATATGCGAGTTTTTCAATTTTGTTCTCTTAAATAGAATAAGAGAGAAAGAAACAAGATACCGACTAATATTAACCTGAATTAGGGAGAGTAAGACATTGTCAAAATTTAAATTGGCGTGTGTCGAACATGTTGTTAGTACCGTATTTTCTCAAGCATAAAATAAATTACTATATAAATTCAAATTCTATTGACAGAATTTTCTAATTTAAATTTGTTTTAAAGTAAAAAATAAAATATCTTTTCATTGTATGTATATGTATATGTAAATTAAAAAAAGAGTTTTCCTTAAACCCAGTGACTACTGCACCGTATTTAAGTGCCACCCGCCTGCGTAATGCCCCACGCCATATCCACCATAGCCACTAGGTCTGCCACGTCCTCTCCTGCTGGTGCTGCAGTCGAAGCCTCTGCCTCTGTCGCTGCCAGCCAAAAGCTGTGACCTGAGCAGAGAGCTGAAAACTGCAGCGTTCACATCCACCCCGCCCCCATTTCATGTCCATGGTATGTATACAATAAGCACACATATGTACTGTTCTATATGGCCATATTTTAAGTGCTGCTGCTTAAAGCGCTTAATGCGGCTTTAAAAAATCTTTGTTCTGCCAGGATAACTAGGATGGCTTCAATTTACCAGTTTGGGTTATTATATAAGAACTTGAAATTTGAAATTACGATTGTAAATTGCAGTGATTTTTCCTGGGTAAAACTCACAGCAAAAAATTTAATAACATTTAATGTGTATTTCAACTAGGAATTCTTTATACTTAAACAGGACACTAAAATACATGTATTCTGAAAATTATAATATGATCGTAGGGGGAGTGGTTTTCGGAAGTTTATCCGTAATCTCCTTCCTAAACACTCTCACTCTCTCATATTATCAGTGATAATATCTTTATAAAAATACCAGTATAGCAGTTACATGCAATCATCTACTTTCCCACACCAAAAGGGGATTATAACGAAAAACTATCTAGGTAAACACCACTAGACGAGTTTGAAAGGTTTAACAGCCCTCCATTCATTGTTGCTACTGCTATTACAGATGTGTGCTAAAAGATTCAAAGCCCGAAGATTCCATCCCCGAACGCAGATCCGAAAAATGGGCAGAATAGGGGACCAGGTCGTTCTTTATCTACAAAAAAAAATTAGCATAAAGCGAACAGCTGACGCCGTTGACCCGATCCGATCGATAGACGATTGTATATTTATATTTTTTCCTATCTGAGGTTTTACATGTATTCTCCGTGTCATTGAACGCGTTTGGAAGCCTCTATTGTAAATCTATCTGTGGGAAACCTTCTCCGAAATAGCTATTCAGATGAATGCACTATGAATATGCACTACAGTCTTATTAGTTGTCCAATTCTAATTAATTGGCGGTGTGTATAAAAACGTCTGTCATTTGGTTAAATTAATCAGATATTAAACTACTTAAAAAATATAAGCTAGCAACACCAATTTATTATTGTATGGTACTATTTTTTTTTTGTTTTTTTCTTTTGTTCTACAGAATTTATGCTGTAAAACGTGAATACAGTAGATATTAATTTCGAGCTCCATTTAGAAAATTTTTCTTTGCGTTGACCGCCGTTTTGCTTTTGGGAATTGTACATCTCATTGCCTCAACAATGGCAACTCAGAAACCAAAACATTTATCTAAGGTCGCGACTGTTTTGCTGTTACCCTCATGAAAAGAAGAAATATTCCGAACTGAACCCTTGTTCCATTTCAAAGTCGTTCTATGGAGTGAGTCGCATTTATTTATCCGGGGTTGGTTTTTGCGTCTTAGTGGCATTGTTTTAGGCTGCAACTCGAAAAATTCAGGTAGAAGTTATTATTTGGTTTTGCTTTCATTTTCTGTCCCCCTGCGTGTTTTTTTGCACACGCATTATTTATTTGGTCCAAAACTGAAATTATCAAACAGTCCAACTATAAATTTATTCGGAATTACACATAAATATCTCTCTGGGTCAAAGAATTAACAACTTAACTTGAAGTTGGTAGCTCCATTCGTACTATATGTTTGTATGCGTGAGTGTGTGGTTATGTTTATTAATTATCAATTATTGGCCATATATTTTTTTAAATACATTTAAAAGAGGAAAAAGACAAGAGAAACGAAATTTCGCATGCAATTATCACAAGTTCTTGGCCGGTAAAGCTACGTGATATCGTAGTCAAATTTTTATAAAATTTAAGCTTGATGGCTTATTGATACATTAGCTTTTGCTTTACACCTGCAAAGGAGCAATCAAGGAGGTGTTTAAAATTTTATTTTTTTATTATTTTCTGAACCCTTCTCAATACTTTATTATAAATAGAAGCATGGTTTTGGTTCGAACAGCTGCCAGAGTACAATTCGGTTTCGATAGATCAACATAAATGCGTAACATTTGTTATCGAGCGCCTAACAGCACACTGTTAACTGGCATGTTTTGCGAATATCGACACAAAGCAAAATCGGTGTCCAGTAAGCGAAACAAGCATAAGCCAAAGAACGAATTATTCAAATGAAGAGCGAATCGCTATGATAAAGAACGTGCAAAAGTGAAGGAATAATACCAATTTCATACAGAAAAAAAGGAACCGGTTGGCTTTCAAAAAAGTAACAAAGGCAAAAGAACGTGGCTCTCCCGGTCCCGGCTTTTTCTGCCACTGTGTTTGTGCCTCTTCGTGGCAGTGCGCGTGTGTGCGAGCGCCTCTGTGTGTGAGTTATTTGTTTGTGCGTGTGTGTTGCCGCGTAAACAGAGGCATACGAATAAAATAAAGAAGAATCGGCGAATTGGTTGGTCGTACGTCAGTTTATTTGGCGCCCGTTAATTTGTTTGTCCGGGTGAAATTTTTTGTTAAGAGCCGATTCCACATAGTGCATTGAAATCGGAAGCGAATAAGTGAAAAAGCCTTAAATTAGGTAGAACTTTACGTTTTCCGATGATATGATAGGCCCAAATAGTAGGGAGCCCGTCTGTGGGGCTGTGCAAATAAACCGGGCCCGCGACCACCGTGAAAAGTATACAACGACAACGATTTTCCCAGCGAAAACCGATAAATAATATTATGCGGAGGTGGGTTAATATTGTGCCATAAAGATTCCGGTTTTAACATTCCAAATATCGTAAATATTATTTCAAAAAACAAAATTATTCAGATAACTGTGATTCCTTGACAAGGCAACTCTATATGTATATATACTTAATTTAATAATATGCATATAATATTAAAGTAGTAATATAAAAAACCCGAGAGCGATACCGATAAAGATCTGAAAGCTATGTAATAATGAGCAGCATACTTTTACTACATAATTGTATGCACAGAAATACAAAACTATTATGTTAGTAGTAATATAATATAATATAATATAGTGTCAATTAGTATGTATACCATAATTATACCATCAATTTGCACTACTTCTTAATTAATTTAACCGAAAACCACCCTCTAACTATTTAAAATGGTAATATTGTTAGTACTACTAACTATTAAAATACTAAAATACTTGAACCAAACTTAGGCTTAGAATATAAAATATAACAGATTATATGAATGGAAGCTTATCTATCAGTAAGCCGAGTTCTAAGAATTTATATGAGGATTCCGGTTTATTTATTTTACAAATGTATAATGTATGGATTGAATATACAAAAATTAAGAATTAGGTAATTTCGTTCTTTGATTGACAAAATTCTACAAGCACAAGTTATATATTAATAAAAAGTACTTTTTTTTTAACGATTTTAAGAAATAGTTATTAAGCTCTATAAAAATAAGGTCTAGTTTATAAGATAAATTAGCAGAACACTTGACTTAAATTTTGGAAATTTTTTAAATTCTTCATTTTAGGTCTACAGAGGAACCACCGACAAACAGCTACGAAAGGAACTACTACGATCGCCCCAATAGCCGCTTAGTCAGTCAATATCAGGCGAGCAACTCATCTTCCTTGGTCAATTCCAACTCCAACTCCAGTCCATCGTCCGTGAGCCCCTCTGCTTCAGTTTCCGTGTCCGTATCCGCATCGGCGGCAGGAGGATCCTCCGAGAGGTCGCGCAACCGAGATCGCCTGTACAGGAATGGTTCTGCCAGTGGTCACAGCGGTGGCATTAACAGCAGCGACAACAGCAGCAACATCCACAGCCACAGCAGCAACACGACGACGACGACAGCAGCCTGTGCAGCTGGAGCTGGAGGACCTGGATCGGCGGGAGCTGGGGCTGGAGGATTGGTAGGAGATGGCGCACCGCAAGCGCTAGGCGACCGGAGCAGCAGCCACAATATCCACCAGAACCAGCAGAGCGTGCGGGTGGCACCACCTCAGTCATGGTACGAAGCCGCCGCTTCTGCAACGACGGCAAAATTAAAAAGTCCTGGTGGCAGTGGCAATGCCGGCGTCTTAGCAGCCGGTGGCTTCGCAATGAGCAGCTCACCGATCAACCATCATCAGCACCAGCATCCGCATCTTCAGAATCCTCAACACCCGCACTACAGCAGCAGCCCAGCGGGGGCAGCCGGAGGATCCTGCCCCTCTCCCGCTCAAGGACAGATACAGATCCAATCGCAATCGCAGACCACGGCCGTGCATCGGAGCGTGGCTTATGCGGGGAGTGCTGCGGATGACTCGTTGACCACCGCAACCTCGCGGAAGATGCTCCTGCACAGCAACAAACTCAATAAGCTACTGAAGGGGGCAGGAGCAGCGGGCAGCGGAGAAGCACGCTCTGGTTCAGAATCGCCAGGAGGGGCTGGAGGAGCAACTCCATTGACGACGACAAGTACAATCACAAACAATAGTTTTAGTAGTAATAGTTTAAATAATACAATAGCCACGGCAACTCCAATAATGCCCACGATAGCATCTGGAGCAACTGGAGCTGCAAGATCGGCAGGATTAGGATCTGGAGCAGCGGCGGGAGCAGGTTCCAATTCCGGCTCCAGCTCAGCCACCAGCGGTGACATTTTAAATGTGGCCGCTGCTCTGGCCGCCGCCGTGGACAATGGGATATCAACGCATACGATCCGAACGCGGCACCACCTGCACGGACGCAGCACCACCTCCTCCAGTCGCTCGCACTCGCGCTCGCCGAGCAGCTACAGCAGTTCGCACAGCTCCTCTTCCTCATCGCACTCCTCCTCCCACTCGCACGCGTCCAGTCCCGTACAATCCACGGGCAATTGTGCGATGGCGGAGGGGCGCAGCGGGCGTAGCCTCCAGTCCGTCGCCGTAACCAGTGAGTTTTCAATCTCGATTCCACCGTACATAACAGACAAAGTTTGGTTACTAATTTACCTTCTTTCTTTTAACTCTGCAGGCAACTCTTCAAATCCCAGTGGCAATGCTGTCACCACCAGCAGTGTAGGCGGCGGCGGAGGCTGTGGCTCCAGTTCATCTTCGAGCAGTAGCTCTAGTTCCAGCGGATCTTCCTCCTGTCTGACGGCCAATCCCGTGGTGCATTCCGAAGACAACCGACCGCTGGCGATACGTGTCCGCAACCTTCCCGCCCGTTCATCGGACACATCCCTTAAGGATGGTCTCTTCCATGAGTACAAAAAGCACGGAAAGGTCACGTGGGTTAAGGTGGTGGGCCAGAACTCGGAGCGCTATGCTTTAGTTTGCTTTAAGAAGCCGGATGACGTCGAAAAAGCGCTGGAGGTGTCCCATGATAAACATTTCTTCGGTTGCAAGATTGAGGTGGAACCGTACCAGGGCTACGATGTCGAGGACAACGAGTTCCGACCCTATGAAGCCGAGCTGGATGAGTACCATCCAAAGTCTACAAGGACACTCTTCATCGGGAACCTGGAAAAGGACATCACCGCCGGCGAGCTGCGAGGGCACTTTGAGGGCTTCGGTGAGATCATCGAGATTGACATCAAGAAGCAGGGGCTGAATGCCTACGCGTTCTGTCAGTACTCGGACATTGTTTCCGTGGTAAAGGCAATGCGGAAAATGGATGGAGAGCACTTGGGCAGCAACCGGATCAAGCTTGGGTTCGGCAAATCCATGCCCACGAACTGCGTCTGGATCGATGGTGTGGGCGAGAAGGTGTCAGACCCCTTTCTTCAGTCACAGTTCACACGATTTGGAACTGTGACCAAAGTCAGCATCGATCGAAATAGGCAGTTGGCCTTGGTTTTATACGACCAGGTCCAGAATGCCCAGGCCGCAGTGAAAGACATGCGTGGAACGATCATGCGGGGCAGGAAGTTGCAGGTGGACTTTGCGTCGAGGGAGTGTCAAGACGCCTTTTATGACAAACAAGAGAAGCAGCAGCAACAACAGAGTGCCAGTAAGTTTGTTAAACGTGCTTGGACTGCATTAATTTCACTGTGTTCATAATCTTCCTAACTATTGTTATGTTATATTTCAGGTTCGAACTCCCGCTTTAGCCGCTATGAGTCGTCATCGTCCTCGTCACAATCCCGATCTCGCGCATCATCCTTTAGTCGGCATCAGAATAACTCAAACGACGGCTGCTCGCCCAGCAATACGCCGGGGGGGTCTAATAGTGGAACTGTCATTGGGGGCATCACAAGCAACCAAAGCACTTCCGGCATCAGCGGGAGCACTAGTTCGGGAAGCGTTACCACTGCGTGCAGTGCGATGCCAGCTCCCAGTTTGGCGTCCGCCATAGTAAGCAGCAGTGGCAACTCCTTGGGAGCGGCATCTACGACCGCATCCATGCCCTCGGTGGTAGGCTCCTCCTCTAATTTGATGCCCATTTCGTCGGCTGCTCTGGCGCAAAGGTATCGAATGGCTCGAAGTGCGCGACAAACCGTCGACTCTGATTTTAACGATGCGGGTCGCCGGTTTCGCAACTTAGAGGAGGGTTCTGGAGGTGCCGGAAATCCCATACAGGATGAAGAAGTCCGCTCCGACTCTCCGATAATAACTCGATTAGGTCCGGGTGTAAATTGTTTGACTGGACCTGCAGGAGCCGGTGGAGAATCCATCGACGGAATGTTAGGCAACACCCAAATTGGTGGAGGAGCAGCGGCGTGTGGAGTAGCATCATTCACAGGACCTGGCACCAATAACCTTAGCAGGAGACGTTGCGGTAAGACACCCAAAGATTTGCACTCCGTGCACAATCAACGTTTCCATTTGGCAGAGCAACTTGAGGAATGCCCGTCCAGTGGTGATGAGGGCGTGGTCAGTCCGCGTAAGCGCATCAAAATGGATTACCACTATCACCACCATCATTCCAATGTTAGCGGGGTAAGTAAAGCCTTCCTCCGGTTTTTAAAATATAAATACAAAAAAAATTGTAATCCTAAAATCCAGAGCATTTTTAACGACTCTGTATTAAGAATATGCAAACTAATTATAATATTTTTATTCAGCTGGAGTCCACTGGCGAGCACAGCAGCATCAACAAACCCAACACCCTCTCCTCGTCGAACTGTGATGTGATACACGATCCCCTTAACCGCAAGAGCGAAATTCGACGGGTTTCCGAGACTCCGAGTGGTTCGCCCGGCATGAAATTCCCCGGCCATCTGCAGTCGGCACCGCCATCCATGATGTTAAGCTGCCGTCGCCCGTCAATAGATGTGGGAGCTCTGTCGGCGCTATCTAGTTCCTCGGCTTTCCGACACGGACTCGTGGGAGCCAGTAGCATGGATCAGCAGCACATAATAAACGCCTCGTTGGCGGCGAAGAGAAGACGAGTGACCAATACCATGCAGCAGTCCAGCTTATCCTCAACCAGCAATAATTCTGGGGGATCTGGTCTAGGCGGGATTAGTAGTCTCACGCCGGTGGATGACTACCATCATCATGTTTCCAGAGGCAGGGGTCATCAGCTACATTCCCATCATTCACACGAGGCCAGCGGAGGAGAAAGTGCGGATGGATCTCGCCCTGGAACGCCATTGTGTGATGAGCGACCTGAAGTGCTGCCCACAGAGCCACGACGCCTGCCTCCACCCAGAGAAAGAGCGAGGGAAAGGGCCCGGGAGGTCATGTGGCTACCCCTGCCAAAGTTTGGAGTGCTCTTTTTCCAGCAGCAGCAGTCCAGAGGGAGTGCTTGCGGAGCAGGAAGTAGCTACTTGCAGCAGCAACTGGGTGGAGGATCGTCCGGAGGGCTGGGAAGCTTAGGAGCATCTTCATCTTCAACATGCTCCCTCAACAACTCTAGTCTAAACGCCAGTCAGGGAATGGGACCCAGTTCTGCATCCGCATTCCTGCCCAGTCCCTCTTCGCGATACTGGCGTTCGTCCTCGCACCACCAACACCACCAGCACAATCTCCAGCAGCAGTCGCAGCAATTGCACGGGACGTCATCCTCTAACTCTGGGTTAATGGCCAGTCCGGCGCGTCCACGCTCTCTGAGTTCCAACTCCAGTGATTCGGATGTACCTGGTCAAAATGCAGGAGGAAGTCCCTCACTGGATGAACGACTACGCAATTTTGAGGAAAACTACGAACGATGGTCTGGTGGAAGCAGCAGAGAACATAGTTCCGGTCATCCGCCCTCCAGTGCCGCGCCCTCATGGCAGCTCTCTATGCACTTGAATTTGGGTACCGGTCTTAATTCTCATCAAACGAGTTCGGGATCCGGTAACAGCAACAGTTCTAGTGGAACCGTTTCCAGCTCCACGAGTAATTCCCGGCACAAGTTCCTTGACATTGATGAACTGCAACCGTCGGACATTGTAAAATCCCTGCTGGCCAAAAAAAGTATTTTTGATGACGATTTTCAACGGCTGAAGAAAAACCAGTGGTACGATCCAGCAGGCTCTGATTTTGCATTGGGCTCGAGTTCCGCCAATCTCGTGGTGGGATCTTTATTGGGACATAGTGTATCTCGACATCCTGGAGGCCCATCCAGCGGGAACACCTCACCTGCCTTGCCCAATCTTGCGGCCACCAAGACAACTCCTATAATTGGAAACTGTGGTGGTGTAATGGGCAACTCGGCGAGTAGCAAAACGGCAGGATTGCTCCAGAGGCTAAGCAGTTTATCACCTATGAACTCCCCTCAAGCCTCGATGTCGCCCTACAACAGCCCATCACCCTCACCTTCGGTGGGAGGACCAACACCTGCCAATCTGGGACAGCTGACAAAACCTGCAGCACCGGGAGCATCGAGTGGAGGAGTCAGTGGATCATCTACAGCCGCCTCATCCTCACCAGCTGCTAATTCGGGACCCACCAAGGGTCTTCAGTACCCGTTTCCCAGTCACCCGCCATTGCCAAACACCGCTGCGCCACCACCAGCGGTGCAGCCAGCACCACCACCACCTCCCGAAATGGGAAAACAATCAAGATCAGCTGGGCAGGCTTCTGGAAGCAATCTGACCAAGAGTTTAAGCGTTCCAGATGCTCCTCAACCTTCGCCAGCGAGAGTTCACCTCCAAAAATCTGCCTCAGTTCCAGGGAGTACCAACGTGGGCACTACCAGCAGTTCATCCTCAGTATCAGCAACATCATCTGCGTCTGCATCTGTATCTACTTCATCATCATCGTCCAACGGTAACAGTTCCTCAACCATAGCAGCCACACATGTACAAAAGCCACCACAGACGAACTCCAATGAGGACGAGCAGACGAAAAAGAGTGGTTCTAGTTCCAAGAAAAGCAGCAGCAGCCACGAGAAGTCCCACAGCAAGCACAACAATCGGTCGGACAGCGACAAGAAAAACAAAAAGTCGGACAAAATTTCATCGTCCTCTTCGTCCTCCGATAAACGAAAGAACTCGGCCACCTCTCAGTCGTCCAAGTCAGCTACTCCCCGCATTACAGACGACTCCAGCGAGCCCGAAGAGCCGGCGGAGAAATCCGAAAAAGACCAGCGTCACGAGCGGGAGAAAAAAGAGCGCCAGGAAAAGGAAAAGCGAGAAAAGGATCTGCGTAAACAACAAGACCGCGAGGACAAGGAGCGCAAGGACCTGCAGGAGGAAAAGGAGAGGGACGATCGTAAAGCCAAGGAGGAGAAAGAAAAGGAAAGGGAACGGGAGAGAAAGGTCCAAGACGATCTGGAAAAGAGGGAACGAGAAGAAAAAGAGTTTAAAGAAAGAGAGCATCGCGAAAAAGAACAAAAAGAAAAGGAGATACGCGAAAAAGATCTGCGTGAAAAGGAGCAAAAAGAGAAGGAGCTGCGAGAAAAAGAGCAAAGGGAAAAGGAGCTCCACCGCGAGAAGGAGCATCGAGACAGAGAGCAGCGAGAAAAGGAACAATCTCGGCGCGCCGTAGATGCTGAGTCAGAAGCTCGTATGGGCAGGATGCGCGAGCTCTCCTCGTACCACAAGAGCAAAGTAGAGGCAACCTCCGAAGCTAGCAGCTTTTACTCCCATAACAATACCACACACTCAACGGCGTCCAGTGACTGTCTGCACAACAAGGAAAACTCCGTGGAAGCCACTGCTCCCGCTACTCCGACTGTTGCTGCTTCAACCCCTTCAGAAAATGCCCTCAAAGATCGCTCGCGGAAGCTATCCAGAAATTCACCAGTGCGCCTTCATAAGCGCCGCCTTAGCTCACAAGAAAGCAACCACAGTACCGGTGGTGGCGGAGCAGGGTCTAGTCATCTGAATCACCATGAGGATTATGTGAAGCGCATACGTATGGAAAACTCCCAGAATACCTCAGCTCACAATACTAACGACCGCAGGGATTCCAAAGACCACAAGAGCAGTAGTTCCAAGGAGGAAAAAAATAGTGGGTTACACAGTTCGAAATCCCATGGCAGTGGAGGAAGTTCCTCCTCATCGTCAAAGCATCATCGCCGGGATAGGCATCACCAGAAGAGCAGTGTCAGCTCCATAGAAACGAATCCATCCATGGAGGTCGTAGTAGAGCCCTGTTCTCAAGCTAAGCAGCAAATAAATACAAGTGAAGAAGAGCAGCATCCTCAACCCAAAAGAGAAAAGGAGAAGGACCACTCCAGTAGTCACCATCATGGTAGTAGTTCATCTTCCAGGCATAAAAGTAAACGGGATCATCATCACCATCGTGAAAAGAAGCGTCATTCGGTGGCGGAATCCACCAATACAGATGAAGAGCATACACCACAGCAGCATAATCCTCACAGGAGAATCTCTGCGGCGGGAAGTGGATCCGCTGGAGAACTCAGCTCAGCAGCCACCAACGCTTCGAGTGGAAAGCCCAATCATCATCATCACAGGCGAAGTGTGGAGCGGAAATCTTCTAGGGGATCTGATGAAGGCCATCACTCTTCGTCGAAATCACTCCGCGCCAAACTTATGATGTTGAGCTCCGCAGACTCTGACGACACCGATGATGCCTCTAAGAAGCACTCCATCTTCGACATCCCGGACGATTGCCCCAATGTCTCAATGTACGATAAAGTTAAAGCCAGGAGTTGTAAGAATATGCAACGACAGGCGGAGGAAAAAAAGATCAAGGCCAAGTTTTCGCAGCTAAAGCAGTCTCGTGCCAAGAAAAAGCGCTCTACCAGCTATGATGGAGACTCTGACACTGAGTTCGAGGATCGTCACCATCGAAATAGTGGCAGCAGCAGTTTCCATGGTCGTTACCCTGGACTGTCCAGCAGCGATGATGATGACGATGATGAGCGGCACCAACGGCGCATTTTCTCCGATTCGGATGCAGAGCCAGGAGATCAGGGACAGCAGGATACAATCTCAATGCCAGATGCAAACAGGGTCCATCAGATGCAGCAGAATCTGCGGAGACTGTGCGATGGTGACGATAGTTCCGAAGACGAGATTAGAAGAAATGTTATGAAGCACAATCATCTCGGAAAGAGGAACTCACACTCGACCAGGATTACATCCGATTCTGAGTCACAATCCCAGCCGGCTCCTGATTTGGGGATAAAACAAGAACAACCCGCAGCTCCCGCCCAGGAAATCAAGCAAGAGCAGCTTTCCGACAGCGAACATAAGTTTAAGTCCCGACATGATTCTAATTCCTCGATGGAGGAGCGTAAGATGAAGTCAGAAAGGGACATAAAAAAGGAGTATGGAGATTTCTACAATTCAGCGTACGCCTACTCTGATTCTGGAAAGGTCAAAGATTATTCCCCAGAAACTCGCAAAAAGCACAAGAAGAGCAAGAGGCGCCTCAAGTCCTCTTCCACAGCGGAGACATCTGCTCCTGCGACTCCTCTGTTGGTTACTCCATCGACGCCATCCATCTTTGACGTCCATTCTTCGTCAGAGTGCAAGACCAAGTTTGGTAGTTTTGATGATCTCAAAACTGAGAGTGCTTTACTTCCGTTGGACATTTCGGCCAGTGATAGGAGGAAGCACAAGGAGAGAAAGGAAAAGAAACGGGAGAAGCTGAGGAATATGACAGATACCAATAACAGCATCCCTGTAAACGCCACAAATACACCCACCACCAATGATATAACCTTAGAGAAGTTGTCTAAGGAAGAGCGCCATCGCCTAAAGAAGTCAAAGAAATCGAAAAGCCTGGACTCCTCTACAAAAGTGTTCAACTCAGGTGGAGTACAATCTACTGTTTCGCCCATGCCTGCTACGCCCACTTCGGCGCCTTTAACAGCTCAGCCGTCGAAGAGAGGAGAGGATAAAATGGAGTTCATCTTTGGCATTATTTCTGATGAGGAAGAATGCCAGTTTCCCGATGAGCAAGTAGAAAGCATTAAGGACATTACAGCAAGCTGTGTGTCTACAACTGGTCCAATTGTGTCCGCTGCTTTGCAAACCTTCAAACAGGAACCTTCCACACCCACCACCAGCAAGAATCAGGAAGCAATTAGTCAATTGCCTGTGCAGGAGGATGAACAGCAGCAACAACAGCAGCCAGAAAGAAGTCGGCAGGCAGTTGGCAGTTGCTCATCTTCCCATTCGGATAGGGAAAGACATCGGAAGGAAAAGCGTGAGAAAAAGCGGCGCGAGAAATCTCAACGGGAACAGCAACATCAAGCACAGCAGCAATCTACCAAGACATTAACTAAAATGGAGGATGATAACAGCGTGGATATGGATGAAGCAGGAAGAGCTCTAGAGGCACAACTAATGATTGACTTTGACAGTAAGACGATGCCAGAGGAAGCCACTCCATCCACAGCCACCACATACAGATCCGATATGGCAGATGTGTTCCGATTCTCTGACAACGAAGACAACACCTCGGTGGGTACCAAACCGGAGCAGCAGGAGCAGCATAAGAGCAAGGACAAAAAGAAGAAGAAAAAGCGATCCAAAGAGGAAAAACAGGAAAAATTGCTGCAACAGCAGCATCGCAGGGAATCCTTGCCAAGTGTGGCACTAACTTCATCCGCGCCTCCTACTCCTGGAAAGCTGACTGTCAATGTTCAAGCAGCCAGCAAGCATGCCGAAGAGCAGATGGACGCCAAGCATGCTTCATCGCCATCCCTATGCAAACCGTCTCCAAGTTTGCCATGTCTAATAGGCGATGATGATGAAGATCTGCTTCCCACTCCAAAGCAGAAACCCATGACTCCCACGAGCCGTGGAAGCGATAGCCTCACTCCTTCGCGGGAGAAACCACGCCTGATTAGTCCCATACCTAAAACTCCAACTATAGCCAACAGTTCCATGTTGTCCACTCAGTCTGCAGAAACTCCGGTGAGCAGTGGAGCTAGTGTGAATTCCTCCTCCGCTTTGGCCACCACGCCCACATCTTCGACAGCAGCAGGAGCCAGCGCAACAGGAGCTGCAGCAGCAGGAGGTGTGGAAACATCGCCTACCAGCGCCTTAGCTCTAATCAAGAAAAAGGAGATCTTCATACCCGGTTTTGATGGCCAGCTAGATGATAGGATAAGCGAATCGGCCGTGCAATCTATCTCAGCAGAGTTTAATTCATCATCTCTTCTCGATACATTGGCAGATGAGCCGAAAATTCCGGTGGCATCGCCTCCAGGTGCGACTAAACCTTCGGATAAGTTAGAGGATACCAAGTCCCGCGTGACTATCTCCCAGGAGGAGACGGAGAGTGCCGTATCCGCTCTGTTGGGGGAAAGTTTTGGCACTTCCTCCACTGCGGACTACTCACTCGATGGCATGGATGAAATTAACTCAGTAAGTGAGATGGAAACTCCTGGTCTAGTGGTAGCAGAACCTGATGAAGAGGCAGCTTTGGCCGCCAAGGCCATAGAATCCGCTGTGGAGCCTGCAGTCATCCTGGAGGAACCGGAAGTGGAGCCCGAGCGAGAACCAGAACCCGTCCCTGGGGTCTTGGATCCCGAAGAAATCAACAAGGCAGTGCACAGTTTACGGCACGAGGATATGATGGAAATCAAGGCTGATACTCCGCAATCGGAGAGAGATCTGCAGATTGATACGGACACGGAAGACAATCCCGACGAGGCGGATAGCAGTGGACCCAGTCTTAAGATCGATGAAACTGTTCAGAGCTCCTCGTCTCCGGAGAAGACCATCAATAAAAGCAGCTCTTCTGTGAGAGAACTGCCAAAGGTTGACCTACCTCAGGGGGAGTCTAAACCCAAGGCTAGCAAAGAAACAGCACCTCAACTTTCGGTGATCACCAAGTTGCCATCTTCGGAGCCACAGAAGCCGCAACCTGCAACCCCTGTAAAGATTGAACCACCAACAATCAGTAAACTCCAACAGCCATTGGTACAGCCTGTGCACACAGTGTTACCTGCCCCTCATTCAGTTGGAAGCGGAATAAATCTAACCCCAGTCATTAATCTGGATCTTTCCAATGTGATGAGCAATTGCTCCAACTCCAGCACGGCTTCTACAACAGCTTCAGCTTCTGCATCTCTCTCATTTGGAAGTCCAACTTCCAGTCCGAATATATTGCCACAAGCTTCGACTCCCAAGGCTCCGCAAGCACCACACCAAACACTGCGGACGCAATCCCTGATAATGCAACCACCAACGATATCCATACCAGAGCCGACAGCCCACTTTGTGGTGCCCCAAATGGTGTTGTCCCCTCATCAGCAACAGCAGTCACATCATCCCCAGCAACCTGGAACTTACATGGCTGGCATTCGGGCTCCTTCTCCACATAGTCCGATCCTTTCACCTGGCCGTAGTGGAGCCCAAAATCGTCTGGTAGGTCAGTTGAGCCCTGTTGGACGATCTGTTGTAAGTCAACCGCCATCTCAGCAACAGGTTCAAGGTGTTAACATGAGTCCCTTGGCAAGTCCCACAACTCGAGTGGTCAGTGCCAATAACTCACCTACCACTAGTAAAACAAACAGCTACCAGCCCAGAAACCTGCAGCAACAACAACAGCAGGTATCACAACAACAATCTCCCAAATCCGTGATTGAGTTGCAGACTTCACCACAGTTATTGGCAATTCCCCTGCAGAAAATGCCAGCGATACCAGTGCCACATCATCCGACGATCATCAGCAAAGTGGTCACCGTACAGCCACAACAGGCCAGTCAATCGCAGGTGGCCAGCTCACCACCTTTGGGCAGCCTGCCCCCTCACAAGAACCTTCATGTGAATGCCCAGCAGCAACATCATCAGGGACAGCAGCAGCAACAATCGCCGCAGGTGATGGCAAAGATGACGACGCTCCAGCAACATCAACACATTCAGCAGCAATTTATGCATCAGCAGATAGTGCAGCGACAGCAACAACTGCATGGCCAGCCGCCACAACTGTCTCCAGGTCAACAACATCAAATGCAAAAGCAGCATCAAGCACAACAACAATTAAACCAGCAACATCAGGCTCAGCAACACCATCAGTCACAGCAGCAACATCAGGCTCAACAGCAACAGTTAAACCAGCAACATCATGCTCAACAACAGCATCAGGCTCAAAAACAGCATCAAGCCCAGCAACAGTTAAATCAGCATCATCAGACCCAACAGCAACATCAGGCCCAGCAGCAGCATCAAGCTCAGCAACAGTTGAACCAACAACATCAGGCCCAACAACAGCAATTGCAACAAATACAAAAGCTACAACAACAGATCCACGCTCCCCTGCTGCAACAGTCGCCTCAGGGACCCGCCCATATGGGATCTTCCCCATCAATGTTTCCATCACAGCAACATCATGCGCAGCTTCCACAACGAGGTGTGCCTCAGCAGCACAATCCGCAACAGTTGTCGACCAGTCCGCCCTGTAAAACAAATGCATTGGGACAAGTTGCCCAAGTGTCTCAGACTGCAGCAATTTTGACAAGAGTTGGCTCCCAGGCCCAGCCACATCCACAGCAGCAGCAACCACACCAACAACCACACCAACAACCACCACACCATCAACAGCAACAGCTGTCTTTGCCAGGAGGCAATCTTCCTCATCAAACGCCACTCAATGTGATCCAGAATGCCCCAAAGTTAATTGTCCAACAGCATATTGTACCCCCACCAAATCAAGTTGTGCCACCACCATCAAGCACTGCGAATGCCATACACTATCCTTCAAACCACTTCAAGGAAAATCCTGCTCCTGGTTCCGTGGAACCATCACCGTCTATGACAACCCTCAAAACATCGGAAAGTGTTTCGGTGATTCGTACACCCACTCCCACCACCAGTTCGGCCGTAATCTCACCAAAGTCGGGTTCCTCCCTGTTAACGGAGGAGAATCTGATCAAGATCTCGCAGCCCAAGCAGGATGAGCTTATCGAACAGGATTCCAAGGAAGTAGACAGTGATTACTGGTCAGCCAAGGAGGTGAATATTGACAGTGTGATTAAGAAGCTAGATACACCGATGGCTAGTAAGGATGATAAACGACCAGTGGATATGCAGACAGTTGCACAGGCTGCAATTCCCAACCCGCAGTGTATGGATAATTCTATCGCCCAGGAGGCTCCCCTATCAACTCCTTCTTCTATAAGTATAAACAGCTCAAACGATCACGATACAGAGGATGAGACGGAGACCAGGCAAATACCTCCAACAAAGCCGGCCACACCAACTGTGGGCAGACCACCAGGAAGAGGAGGTACCGCCAAGCGAGGACGACAACCGAGGGGAGCGAAGAAGCAAGGAGGCTTCCCGTTAAATTCAACAATAGCAGCCCCTGGAACGGATTTGGGATTAGTATTGCAGCCAGGTGATAATGGAGTGCAAACCAGGCTGAGGAAACCAGTTACAGCTCCCGTGACCAGAGGCAGGAAAGGAAGACCTCCGAGGAATTTGCTGTTGCAGCAACAACTCCAGCAGCAGCAGCTCGATCTGCAGCGAAAGGCAATGGAAATGGTAACAGTAAACACGCCTGTGGTTGCACAGCCAGCAGTTCCAATTCCTCCCAATCCTGTGCTCACAGCTGCAGAGAAGAAGGCCAGAAATCAAGCCTTGACTCAGGCGCAAGCCCAACAACAAGTCGCTAGTCAAGTTGGAAACAGTCAGGATATCTATGAGTTTCATGAAGACGCGGGCGAAGAGCCCAAAGGCAAGGCTAACTCAAATGTTGCGCCACCTGCAGATGACCAACGACCACGTCTCATTCTCACCATCAATAAAGCGCAACCCTCAATTAAGAACAACAGTGAAATGGAACATCCAATGCAGCAACAACAGCTGCAGCCGGAACTTCCAGCACAAATTGATCCAATAGGGGGAGACACCTCCGAGTCCAGTAACACACGAAAGTCACGCCGTCTTCAGGAGAAGGAGGATCGGAGTACAGTAGACGATATCATCGAAGACGTGGTGAGAAATACCAACACACCAACTGGTGTAGGACAACAGTTGCCGAAAGGTGCCCAAACTCCACCACGACGTTCGGGCAGAAATGCACAGGCCAAGAAGACGGATGTAGTACATACCGCCAATGCAGTGGGGCGTCCAAGGCGATCCAAGGACAGAAAGACCATTGGTGAACCGCCAGCGAGCTTGATGGATGAGACGATCGCGCCAAACATAAATGCTGCCGCTCCTACATCGGTTCTCCTACCACCAGCTGAACTAGTTCAAGTGCAGCCGCATATGCCACAGTTGGATAACAAAGATGTTGAACCAGTTCAGGCTTCGGAATCTACTCTTACTCCAACTTCTGTGACCGTAACTGCACCCGTTCCCGTGCCGGTTCCCGTTCCTGTGCCTGCCATAACCGCTCCCAAGCCTACAATGCCACAACATCCCAAAAAGAAGGCTATTGCGGCAGCGGAGATCGAATCCTATCAGGCCATCAACTCATCCATCCCCACCGGGGGATTACCAATGCATCAGACAGCTGCGCCTGCTACTCAAAAGATCACTGGCGGTGCAGCAGATGCAGTCAGCAAGGCTCTAGTTGACCCTGTCACGGGAGTAATCACCGCAGGAATGCCCCAAGGCAAGGAGGGCAATCTTCCAGCAGCTACCGCTGCTGCTCCTGCCAACAGCAGCAATGAAGCTGGTCCACCTCCTCCTCCCTCGCAGCAGCAGCAACAGCAGCAAGCAAATCTGCAGATTAGTGCCACTGTGATTGCATCTAATGCAGCGACTCCCATTACAGCTTTGGGAAAATCCGTGCAGCTTGAGTCCGCGGCAGCAGCTGCTCTACTCAACAAACCTGTGAGTGTACTGGTGAAAGGAAACCCCAGTCCACTGGTGATTCAGCAGCAGCAACTACCACAGATAGTGGCGCCACCAAAACAACCTATCGTACTCCAGCAGAATCCTCTACCCGCTGTCCTGCAACACGCGCAGCACACCAATGTGCGGCCACCTCAACCACTCAAGGCTCACGTGCTGAACAGGGAAAAGAATCTCCAGCAGCAATTGACACCCACTAAGCAGCCAGTACCTCAGCTCCCGCAGCAGCAACAGCAACCACATCCCGGCCACATGTTGCTCACAGATGGTAACGGAAATCAACAACTATTGCAACCTCAGATCATTGCACGTCACCTGCAGCAGCAACAACATCTGCTGGTCAATGTGCCTCCACCAACAGCACATTCGCCGAGGATTCCGGGTCAGCAGCAACAACAGTTGGGACCAGGAGCCACCGTAAATCCTCAGCAGCAGCAACAACAACAAACTCTGGTAATCAAGCAGGCGACTTCAGCAGCGCCACCGCAGATATTGCATGTGGTGAGCTCCAAGACATCCGTGGTGCCCCAACCGCAACAGCAGCAACCACCACCCTCTTCGTCAGCAGGATCTCATTTGCAGCTGGGCAAGTCCAACTTCGGCTACGCAACCAATGTTTTGCCGCCCACTTCCTTGGCAGCCGTGCAGCAGCAACAACAGCTGTATAAACAACCCAATCAGCAGAAGGGTGTTCCGGTGCAGCTGCCTCCACACGGCATGATATTGCCCACCCATCCTGGAATGCTGTTGCAGCAAAAACCACCAGTTCATTTGCAGCCACAGCAGCATCAATTGACTCCTTCGCCGCCACCTGGAAAGCCAAATCCTGTTGTGCACAGTCTGCATGCTGCACAGATCATGCCGGGAAGTGTTGGCAGTCCACCGCCGGTGTCAGCCACAGTTTTAAAATCCGCTCAGCAGCAGGGGAACTCTGCCGCAGCAGCAGTTGGTGAGTTAACGAAGCCCTACAGCATTACCAAAATCCTAGCTTACTTTAATTTCTTTTCAGGGATGCGCACAGCCATTCCGAACATCAGTCCGCAGGGCCAGCCGAGGATATCGCCATTGGTTTTACCACCCGGAATGCCCGGCGGTACTTTCGATGCTAGTCTGGTAAGTCTTAAATAATGCATTAAATAATAATACACATTTATTTTAGTTTAACGGTCTTAAAAATGTTTAAAAAAATTATTTCATAGCATATTGGTTCTTTCCGTTTTATTTCCTTTTTTTATAACTTTATTTGAGGTTTAAAGAATTCAAATCTTTTCTTTTTACTAACCATAAACTAATTTTATTATTCGAAATTGCTAACTGTGGATGCAGCATGACTTGGGCGCTTATGTCAGTGGACGGCGAACCCAGAGTCCGCCTCCAGCTCATCAGCAGGCATCGCCCATAACACCGGTAATGCACAAGTTTTACTTGCGGAGCTTTCAAGTAGTGTAACCAAATTCTTCACTAGCCTGCAGCCATATAGAAAAAATACTATGAGTAAAACATTGGCTAATCAATAAATTTTTTGTCGATTGCCTTTTTTAGAACGATTCCACGTATCGAGGCGTGACTGCTTCCAGGGATTTCATTCTCTACCAGCATCATTTAATGCGAGGTGGCGATTATGACGACAAGATTAGCAACAGTCCGCCGCTAGAGTTACGACGTCCTGGCAGTGGACCTTCAAGGAACATCGCAGTGCCACACAGCTTGCAGAGTCCACAGGATCGCACCGCAGCTGGTAAGTGCTAAAAGTCTTATGACTTTTAGGGCAATTCCGAATGACCAAAATTTTCTATCTTCTCAGACTCACCGCAAATGGCGCAGGTTTATGTACACAATGCCCGCATTCCACCGGCCCATTTCAGTGAAATGGCTTCGCGAGGCTTCTACGAGAGTGGTGGCTTACAACTAGAACCACCGCCAGCGCATCGACCAACTGCGGTTGTCCCACCACAAATGCAGCCGGGAAATATCCTTCACCCAGTCAAGGCAATGGAAATTCAGCTTGACGAGATGGACCGCATGTCAATGATCGCAGCTGTTGGTGAGTGTCAAGGGGTCTTGATGTAAAACAGTACAATCTCATAACGAATATTCTTCATTTGCAATTGCAGTTAAACAACAGCAGGATCATCTACCACCTACTCTGCACGCTGGCATGGAATTGGCCGCCCATCAAATACCTCCAGCCATGGCTCCACCACCTGGTGATTCACTGGTCACTCTGCTGCAACGCTATCCGGTGATGTGGCAGGGTTTACTGGCCCTGAAAACTGATCAGGCCGCCGTCCAGATGCACTTTGTGCATGGTAACCCAAATGTAGCAAGAGCCTCACTTCCCAGTTTGGTGGAGACCAACACGCCGTTGCTGAGAATTGCCCAGAGGATGCGACTGGAACAGACTCAGCTGGAAGGTGTCGCCAAGAAGATGCAGGTATGTACATTTTGTCGATTTAGCTTTACATGACTATAGATAATAGGTTTTAGAAGTCTGGGCAGTATTAATATTATCCCTTTAAAATCCAAGGTGGACAAGGAACATTGCATGCTTCTGGCTTTGCCATGCGGAAGAGATCACGCCGATGTCCTGCAGCATTCAAGGAACCTCCAAACCGGATTCATCACCTACCTGCAACAGAAAATGGCCGCCGGCATTGTGAACATACCCATTCCGGGCAGCGAGCAGGCGGCCTACGTGGTGCACATCTTCCCAGCTTGCGATTTTGCTAACGAGAACCTGGAACGTGCTGCTCCTGATCTCAAGAATCGTGTGGCCGAGTTGGCGCACCTCCTGATTGTCATTGCCACTGTCTAAACCACAGAACAGGCGAATTACTGGAAAATTCAAAACTAATGAAAGCAACACTCAAAAATAATATTACCGGTCGTTAAACTCCACAGGCAAATACAATCCCTAAATGAAAACATAAAAAAGAAACAAACAAGTTACGCTCTTCTAGAATTTTAAGTAATTTTAAATAGCGATTAAACAAGCAAAAGTTTAAAAAAGCAAAGTAAAAGAAAACAAAAAGAACTTAAAGAAAAAATAAATGCAGGAGAAGCAGAAGAACATTGAGGCGGAGCTCACACCCAAACATAAAGAGATCCGCAAGAGACTCAAACAAAGCGAAATAAATCCCTTCAGACCCCAACACTTCAAAAGCAGAAGCGAAACGATGAAAAATTGTCTAAATGAATTATTTAACTCTCCCTAATTTAAAACCTTTAACAAAAAGCTTGAAAAGTATCGTTAAGTTTGATCTCAAAAAAGAAATTTTTATTTTTGCTTAATTTAAAATGAAAGAAACACGAAAACATAAAAATCTACACATACACATAGAAAGAAATTTAAAAAGCTTAAAACATAATAACTGTTTACTGTACTATGCATACTAATACCCATACATAATATTGATATCTGATCCTATCCGTAACACGATTAAGTTTTGATTTGTTTTTAACTTCCGACTAGTTCGGTGGGAAAGTCACTGCTCTGCGTTATACAAAGTTTTCGCTTCCGAACAACCACCGTTTAATTTTCATACGATCGGTTCCTTGGCTCTATGGAATGCCTGTCTATAAAACTAAAAACGGGGCTTGACATAGACCCAAAGAACTTCAAATGAGTCTGGACTGTCGCCCATGCTGTCAAGCACAATTAGGTTTAGTGATACGCCCAGAGGCTTTTCCTACGATAACATACACACGTATACATTACACATTACATTATCTAGACGCGTATTTAATTATAACCTATATGTTAAGCCAAATACTTTAAAGCTTAGACACGTTTTGCTTCGTTTCGTGTTGTTACTTCCGCTCTGCACCAGAGTTACATATATCCTCTCAAAAATACCTGCAACGATACAGTTTCCGACTTAACGCTGTTGTTCTTTTCGTTTGTTGTCTCCCATCTTCTGTTTCTATTTTTTTTTTATTACAACCACTGCCACAAAACTAAAGCCGAAAATCACTGGTCTAAATCTTAATAAAGGCGTTCCGATCTCCACCCACTTGTTAGTTTTTGTGCGCGAAACTTTGTACAATGTTGGGTAGTTTCAGGGCCCCCTTTACACCATTATGCTGACACCCCACAAGAAACATAAACATACCCCTTACAATATGATACAATAACCTATATATGTAGTTCCCTCTTTGTACACTCCTTAAACTTAAACATAAGTTTTCACACCCACTTGTAAATTATGTGACCGCAAGAATAATACAAAAAAAAGATTAAACATGAGTAAAAGAAAAGGAATGAAAACTGTAAAATATTTAAATTATTTAGACTCTAACAAATATGAAATGTAAATACAGTTTAATTAGTGTTTAGCGCGTATTTAGTTGTATGTTTTAAAACTAAACTAAAGAGAAACTGTACATTATATAACACAATTAACGATACGAGAACACAAAAGATCAGATCTGCAAAAGGTCACCCAGAAGCAGAAACTGATACAGAAAAAAAGTAAGAATAGAAGAAAGCAAGTAAAAAGAACACACATTTTCAAGTTAAAACAGATGAAGCGCTGTTGAACATATGTTTGTGTATAAGTTGTAAGTTTTAAGAGTCTTTTTAGTTATTTCCTAAGTTACTTTGAAGAAACCGATTAAACTACGATTATTTCTTACACTTGGTTTCGTTTTAATTTCCGCCACTCCCAGACTATGGATTTCTTGTCCCGCAAAACCAAATCGAACCCCATAGCGAAATGCAACTTATACATACATATATACATTATATATAGATGTTAATGTTATAAATGTAATTAAATAAATTCTATACCTATGCAGTCGTTTGGGTGTTCTTGGTGATTCTTTCATCCAGGTGAGAGTGTAGTCAGAGCTTGCGGGGATCATGGGGAAAGTTTAATTTATTAAATGACTTTTAAATTGAGGAAAATTAAATCCAACCGAACCGCCAAATATTTGAGATTTAAGTATTTTTTGAATAAAATACTAAAAAAGAAAGCTTATCGGAGTGGCGTGGTTCAAAATCGAACTGGCTCGATAACAATAATCGGTTAGAGACGAATGGTGGACAGCAAAACAGTTGTGACCATAATACAGTGCAATTACATCCCTATTCGCGGGAATTTGGCTGCTAAAACAGTTAATAGTCACAGTTTCCAATTTCCGACCCTCTATCAGAAGCATTACAGCATTATGAGCCTGAGCTTGATTCAGAAAAGTAAGTTTCCACGTTTTTCATTCACATTCGTGTTGTTGTGTAACTTCATAAATGGATTTTCCAGTTCTTCCGCTGGCCAAGAGCAGCACTCCGGCGCTGCAGTCCGTTCGCTTCAAGGGCAAAATCAACATACAGCGACCCAAGGAGCCGCACTACGAACGTGCCCGCGTCGTCGCCGTTACACAGCCAAAGTACCCGGAGCCCCCAAAGGCAAAAAGCTGCTTCAAGACACGCGCTGAGCGCACGCAGCAGCAAATTGAGAACCCCTACAACGAGATCATCGCACGCGAGGTGCGCAACTGGCTGGACCACTCCCGGCTGGTGGCCGTCTTCCACCTAAACTCAATCACGTCCGACGAGATCTTCCGTGTCCGTGTCCAGCTGCACAAGCAGAACCTGCACCTCAAGTCCTACGGCCGCAAGATCATCAGCCAAGCGGTGGCAGCGACTCGCTACGAAGCCATTTTGCCGCTGTTTCACTCCAATCACTGCATCGTCTTCTCCCCGGACCAGCAGACGATTGGCTCCCTGCTGAGGATCACCCGAAAGGTGCCGCAAATGGTTCTGCTTGGAGGCGTCGTGGAGGATACCCTTCTCAGCCGGAATGAGCTGATGGCCTACGCCCAGTTGCCCGGTCTGCAGGCGGTGCAAGCGCAACTCGTCCAGACCCTCAACCAGGCAGCTGGTCATCTTGTGCAACAAATGCAGGCGCATCAACAAAGCTTCGTTCAAGTCCTGGATGTCCATGCCAAGGGTGAAGTCAAGGAGACAACGCCGGAGTTAACAGAGGAGCCGAAGTGAAACCAAGTTTGTTAAATAACAAGTTAATCGAAAATTTTATTATTGTCTTTTATACTAAACTAGCTGAATTGGCGGGATCTGGTTTTCACTTTCAGGTATTGATTTAAATGTGATCAATTTAAAAGATTTTGTTTATAAGTTTCCTAATTTTAGTGTTGAAAAAAATTTGAAAATGAAAACCAGAAGAAGCCTATTTGACTATATTGCACTTTCCAACGGGACCTAAAACTTCTGCTGGAATGATGGCGTCAGTTGTGGAGTCTTCGGTGGTTTCGCTTAGGAGCTGATCGCGGTATGTTGCCAGCGCTGCCTACAGTTAAAGGCGAGGTTAGCCAAGGCTTCCGCGGCGTCCAGTTCGTCCTTGTGATGGAGCATCCAGCTATCGCCGCAACCCGCCGCCGTGGCATCGCTATTGAACATCACTTGGCCATGAGACTGGCCGCAGCTGTTGCTTTTGCTGTTTTTCTGCCTGAAATTTAGAATTCTTATCCATTACGAAGGAACTGGACGGCCATGAACTTGATTACCTGCTCGTATTCCACTCGATGTGATAGTTGTTTCTATCCGGTGTGAATTTGGCAGCACTTTCTAGCCACTTGTTAAGTTGCGTGCCCGGTTGAATAGATTCCTCTGCCGTGGAAGTATCCCGCAGGTACTTCTCCATCATTTGGTGCTTGTACTTGGTCCTGGTTACCTGCACAGTGGGCAACATGGGTATTCGATCGGACAAGTCCGCAGATTCCATATACAAATTTTTCTTGTACGGGGAGGTGGAGTCATTATTGGCATTGCCATCGCTGCCAGTGCTGTGGCTGGACAACTCGTCGTCATCATCGCCTTCGTCATCATCTGCGGGACCCGAGCGCATCTCCTCCTCCCAAATACTATCCTCAGACGATATGCTGAACTGCTCAACATTTCCCCTGGCATTGTGATTGTAGTTCTTGATCAGATGGCCCCAGGACTTTTTGGCCTTCTCCCGCTCTGAGTTCTTCAGCTTTCTGCGCCAGTTTGCGAACCAATTGCAGATCTGGGTGTAGGTCAGTCCAGTCTCAGCAGCAAGCTGCTTTTTCTCCTCCCTACTGGGATAAGGATTCTCCCGGCGACGGATCAGCCAATCTTTAAGCATCCTCTTGATGTCGGGTGTAAACAACCGCTTGATGGCTCGCGTTGGTGGCTGCAGCTCATCCTCCGGTGGCCAGGCGCGTCTGGAAGAGTGAACAGGAATAATATAACGGAACAGACCAGGTGAGTCCTTAGCTAATTCCAAAAATACCTCACCTGCTGTGGCGACGATTTCGCTTGGGCCGCGTTGTCTTCTCCATGACGTTCTGAAAACAAAGAGAAGACGACATGGCACATCGCTATCTTTTTAAAAATGTAATTTCAAAACTTTTGGTGGGTGGCGCTATTTCTGGCCAACGGATTTTCATGTTTTTTGGCTCTGTTGTTGTTTTCTTTATTTTCATGCTCTCGAATTAAGGAAAAAATAGTTTGGCTTGTGATTTATAGATCGCGAGAGATCGAGAGAAGGAAATGGATGCCATAGAAATCAAGAGAGCATTTTTCAACTCAAAAATTGTAAAAATCTTTTAAGGGACTTGACTTTCCTCCTACAACTGCCCACAATTCAAATTCATGCCAAGGTGTGTGAGAAAGTGGTTCATGTTTTTTGGTTTCGATTGAGAAATTCATTGATGAATCCGGTAAATCGTGTTGTTTTCAACGCCCGAACTGTACGTATAGATGTATTTATATCAGTGTAACACTGGCTAGAAGTTTAATATTTGTCGATCATGACCCTTAAATGGCTCTTTCCGTTTCTATCCGTATATACACTTTTGGGAAAAGTCCAATTACCCAGAAGATGCATCACTTTTGTTGACATTCTAATCCATTTGTGGTAACATTAATTATATAATTCGAACCTAACACTCTTGACACTTTTCGACAAAGTATATAAAATTGCACTTATTTCAAACTCGTCGAGAACCTACACCATTTGGCTCCTGCTTAACTCATAAGTTCCCGAAAAATGCCTGCACCCACCTGTGTTTGGCTTATATTTTATGATTATATTTCGTTATATTTCAGAATTTTAAAAATCGAATAGTGCTTGTGCCTCGCTCAACGTTCTGTGACAAACTGATCTCTGAAAAAAGTTTTCAAAACAGCCCGAAGAGGCTACGAAGACCACTTTATCATACGAGTTGGGCACTATTAATCTATTTACAAAATACAACTATATGCGTGCTTATTCTAAAATGATCGCAGCTCTTTCGTCGTGGAAATCGAGAGAATCTGAAAATGTTCTGATGTTTGCGAATTACTTTTACTCTCGATATTTTAAGGTGCGACTACGTTTCTCAACGGCCTTAAAAGAAAAAATAAAGCCATTAAGTATTTTATTTTACAATTATTCGTTTCTCCTTTTCTAGAGATTCGACAAACCTTCGCGTTTTTTTTAGCAATGACCTTTTTATGCCAATCTGGCAGCATTATCAGTTAAAGGGGCGCTTCAATTTCAAACCAAAATAAAAGTTGAAATTTCCGTACTTCCGGATTTTGTCATTCTTCATAATGGGTTAGCCTATGATTCTTTGCGGAAAATCCACAATAAAAGTTGATCCTCCGGATCCTCCGGATTTTGTCATTTATCATAAGTTCATCATTTTTGGACAAAAATCGACCAACATTAAATTTTTTAGCTGTGAATGCCAATCGATTGGAAATTTTATAACGAACTCAACGAGGTACGGCATTCCATCGTGTGACCATAATTTCCCATCGTTTGGATCAAAAAACCGCAATAAAAGTTGATTTTTCCGGATCCTCCGGATTTTGCCATTTTTCATAAGAGGTTAGTTCATCATTTTTGGCGAAATATCGACCAAAATGAAATTTTTTAGCTGTGAATGCCAATCGATTCAAAGGTGTATGGCATTCCATCGTGTGATTGTTATTTCCCATGGTTTGGATCAAAAAACCGCAATAAAAGTTGATTTTTCCGGATCCTCCGGATTTTGCCATTTTTCATAAGGGGTTAGTTCATCATTTTTGGCGAAATATCGACCAAAATGAAATTTTTTAGCTGTGAATGCCAATCGATTGGAAATTTTATTACGAATTCAAAGGTGAGTGGCATTCCATCGTGTGATTATTATTTCCCATGGTTTGGATAAAAAAACCGCAATCCGGATCCTCCGGATTTTGCCATTTTTCATAAGTTCTTCATTTTTGGCGAAATATCGACCAAAATGAAATTTTTTAGCTGTGAATGCCAATCGATTGGAAATTTTATAACGAATTCAAAGGTGTATGGCATTCCATCGTGTGATTGTTATTTCCCATGGTTTGGATCAAAAAACCGCAATAAAAGTTGATTTTTCCGGATCCTCCGGATTTTGCCATTTTTCATAAGAGGTTAGTTCATCATTTTTGGCGAAATATCGACCAAAATGAAATTTTTTAGCTGTGAATGCCAATCGATTCAAAGGTGTATGGCATTCCATCGTGTGATTGTTATTTCCCATGGTTTGGATAAAAAAATCGCAATAAAAGTTGATTTTTCCGGATCTTCCGGATTTTGCCATTTTTCATAAGTTCATCATTTTTGGCGAAACATCGATCAAAATGAAATTTTTTGACTGTAAATGCCAATTGATTGGACATGTTATAACGAATTCAAAGGTGTATGGCATTCCATCGTGTGATTGTTATTTCCCATGGTTTGGATAAAAAAATCGCAATAAAAGTTGATTTTTCCGGATCCTCCGGATTTTGCCATTTTTCATAAGAGGTTAGTTCATCATTTTTGGCGAAATATCGACCAAAATGAAATTTTTTAGCTGTGAATGCCAATCGATTGGAAATTTTATAACGAATTCAAAGGTGAGTGGCATTCCATCGTGTGATTATTATTTCCCATGGTTTGGATAAAAAAACCGCAATCCGGATCCTCCGGATTTTGCCATTTTTCATAAGTTCTTCATTTTTGGCGAAATATCGACCAAAATGAAATTTTTTAGCTGTGAGTGCCAATCGATTGGAAATTTTATAACGAATTCAAAGGTGTGTGGCATCCCATCGTGTGATTATTATTTCCCATGGTTTGAATACAAAAACCGCAATAAAAGTTGATTTTTCCGGATCCTCCGGATTTTGCCATTTTTCATAAGAGGTTAGTTCATAAGTTTTGGCGAAATATCGACCAAAATGAAATTTTTTAGCTGTGAATGCCAATCGATTGGAAATTTTATAACGAATTCAAAGGTGTATGGCATTCCATCGTGTGATTTTTATTTCCCATGGTTTGGATCAAAAAACCGCAATAAAAGTTGATTTTTCCGGATCCTCCGGATTTTGCCATTTTTTAAAAAGGGGTTAGTTCATCATTTTTGGCGAAATATCGACCAAAATGAAATTTTTTAGCTGTGAATGCCAATCGATTCAAAGGTGTATGGCATTCCATCGTGTGATTGTTATTTCCCATGGTTTGGATCAAAAAACCGCAATAAAAGTTGATATTTCCGGATCCTCCGGATTTTGCCATTTTTCATAAGGGGTTAGTTCATCATTTTTGGCGAAATATCGACCAAAATGAAATTTTTTAGCTGTGAATGCCAATCGATTGGAAATTTTATAACGAATGCAAAGGTGAGTGGCATTCCATCGTGTGATTGTTATTTCCCATGGTTTGGATCAAAAAACCGCAATAAAAGTTGATTTTTCCGGATCCTCCGGATTTTGCCATTTTTCATAAGGGGTTAGTTCATCATTTTTGGCGAAATATCGAACAAAATGAAATTTTTTGACTGTAAATGTTAATTGATTGGAAATTTTATAACGAATTCAAAGGTGTATGGCATTCCATCGTGTGATTATTATTTCCCATGGTTTGGATAAAAAAACCGCAATCCGGATCCTCCGGATTTTGCCATTTTTCATAAAGGGTTAGTTCATTCATCATTTTTGGCGAAATATCAACCAAAATGAAATTTTTTAGCTGTGAATGCCAATCGATTGGAAATTTTATAACGAATTCAAAGGTGAGTGGCATTCCATCGTGTGATTATTATTTCCCATGGTTTGGATAAAAAAACCGCAATCCGGATCCTCCGGATTTTGCCATTTTTCATAAGGGGTTAGTTCATCATTTTTGGCGAAATATCGACCAAAATGAAATTTTTTAGCTGTGAATGCCAATCGATTGGAAATTTTATAACGAATGCAAAGGTGAGTGGCATTCCATCGTGTGATTGTTATTTCCCATGGTTTGGATAAAAAAATCGCAATAAAAGTTGATTTTTCCGGATCTTCCGGATTTTGCCATTTTTCATAAGTTCATCATTTTTGGCGAAACATCGATCAAAATGAAATTTTTTGACTGTAAATGCCAATTGATTGGAAATTTTATAACGAATTCAAAGGTGTATGGCATTCCATCGTGTGATTGTTATTTCCCATGGTTTGGATAAAAAAACCGCAATCCGGATCCTCCGGATTTTGCCATTTTTCATAAAGGGTTAGTTCATCATTTTTGGCGAAATATCAACCAAAATGAAATTTTTTAGCTGTGAATGCCAATCGATTGGAAATTTTATAACGAATTCAAAGGTGAGTGGCATTCCATATTGTGATTATTATTTCCCATGGTTTGGATAAAAAAACCGCAATCCGGATCCTCCGGATTTTGCCATTTTTCATAAGGGGTTAGTTCATCATTTTTGGCGAAATATCAACCAAAATGAAATTTTTTAGCTGTGAATGCCAATCGATTGGAAATTTTATAACGAATTCAAAGGTGAGTGGCATTCCATCGTGTGATTATTATTTCCCATGGTTTGGATAAAAAAACCGCAATCCGGATCCTCCGGATTTTGCCATTTTTCATAAGGGGTTAGTTCATCATTTTTGGCGAAATATCAACCAAAATGAAATTTTTTAGCTGTGAATGCCAATCGATTGGAAATTTTATAACGAATTCAAAGGTGAGTGGCATTCCATCGTGTGATTGTTATTTCCCATGGTTTGGATCAAAAAACCGCAATAAAAGTTGATTTTTCCGGATCCTCCGGATTTTGCCATTTTTCATAAGGGGTTAGTTCATCATTTTTGGCGAAATATCGACCAAAATGAAATTTTTTAGCTGTGAATGCCAATCGATTGGAAATTTTATAACGAATTCAAAGGTGTATGGCATTCCATCGTGTGATTATTATTTCCCATGGTTTGGATAAAAAAACCGCAATCCGGATCCTCCGGATTTTGCCATTTTTCATAAGGGGTTAGTTCATCATTTTTGGCGAAACATCGATCAAAATGAAATTTTTTGACTGTAAATGCCAATTGATTGGAAATTTTATAACGAATTCAAAGGTGTATGGCATTCCATCGTGTGATTGTTATTTCCCATGGTTTGGAACAAAAAACCGCAATAAAAGTTGATTTTTCCGGATCCTCCGGATTTTGCCATTTTTCATAAGGGGTTAGTTCATCATTTTTGGCGAAATATCGACCAAAATGAAATTTTTTAGCTGTGAATGCCAATCGATTGGAAATTTTATAACGAATTCAAAGGTGAGTGGCATTCCATCGTGTGATTATTATTTCCCATGGTTTGGATAAAAAAACCGCAATCCGGATCCTCCGGATTTTGCCATTTTTCATAAAGGGTTAGTTCATCACTTTTGGCGAAATATCAACCAAAATGAAATTTTTTAGCTGTGAATGCCAATCGATTGGAAATTTTATAACGAATTCAAAGGTGAGTGGCATTCCATCGTGTGATTATTATTTCCCATGGTTTGGATAAAAAAACCGCAATCCGGATCCTCCGGATTTTGCCATTTTTCATAAAGGGTTAGTTCATCATTTTTGGCGAAATATCAACCAAAATGAAATTTTTTAGCTGTGAATGCCAATCGATTGGAAATTTTATAACGAATTCAAAGGTGAGTGGCATTCCATCGTGTGATTGTTATTTCCCATGGTTTGGATCAAAAAACCGCAATAAAAGTTGATTTTTCCGGATCCTCCGGATTTTGCCATTTTTCATAAGGGGTTAGTTCATCATTTTTGGCGAAATATCGATCAAAATGAAATTTTTTAGCTGTGAATGCCAATCGATTGGAAATTTTATAACGAATTCAAAGGTGTATGGCATTCCATCGTGTGATTATTATTTCCCATGGTTTGGATAAAAAAACCGCAATCCGGATCCTCCGGATTTTGCCATTTTTCATAAGGGGTTAGTTCATCATTTTTGGCGAAACATCGATCAAAATGAAATTTTTTGACTGTAAATGCCAATTGATTGGAAATTTTATAACGAATTCAAAGGTGTATGGCATTCCATCGTGTGATTGTTATTTCCCATGGTTTGGAACAAAAAACCGCAATAAAAGTTGATTTTTCCGGATCCTCCGGATTTTGCCATTTTTCATAAGGGGTTAGTTCATCATTTTTGGCGAAATATCGACCAAAATGAAATTTTTTAGCTGTGAATGCCAATCGATTGGAAATTTTATAACGAATTCAAAGGTGAGTGGCATTCCATCGTGTGATTATTATTTCCCATGGTTTGGATAAAAAAACCGCAATCCGGATCCTCCGGATTTTGCCATTTTTCATAAGGGGTTAGTTCATCATTTTTGGCGAAATATCAACCAAAATGAAATTTTTTAGCTGTGAATGCCAATCGATTGGAAATTTTATAACGAATTCAAAGGTGAGTGGCATTCCATCGTGTGATTGTTATTTCCCATGGTTTGGATCAAAAAACCGCAATAAAAGTTGATTTTTCCGGATCCTCCGGATTTTGCCATTTTTCATAAGGGGTTAGTTCATCATTTTTGGCGAAATATCGATCAAAATGAAATTTTTTGACTGTAAATGTTAATTGATTGGAAATTTTATAACGAATTCAAAGGTGTATGGCATTCCATCGTGTGATTGTTATTTCCCATGGTTTGAATCAAAAAACCGCAATAAAAGTGGATTTTTCCGGATCCTCCGGATTTTGCCATTTTTCTTTCATAAGGGGTTAGTTCATCATTTTTGGCGAAATATCGATCAAAATGAAATTTTTTGACTGTAAATGTTAATTGATTGGAAATTTTATAACGAATTCAAAGGTGTATGGCATTCCATCGTGTGATTGTTATTTCCCATGGTTTGAATCAAAAAACCGCAATAAAAGTGGATTTTTCCGGATCCTCCGGATTTTGCCATTTTTCATAAGTTCATCATTTTTGGCGAAACATCGATCAAAATGAAATTTTTTGACTGTAAATGCCAATCGATTGGAAATTTTATAACGAATTCAAAGGTGAGTGGCATTCCATCGTGTGATTATTATTTCCCATGGTTTGGATCAAAAAACCGCAATAAAAGTTGATTTTTCCGGATCCTCCGGATTTTGCCATTTTTCATAAGAGGTTAGTTCATAAGTTTTGGCGAAATATCGACCAAAATGAAATTTTTTAGCTGTGAATGCCAATCGATTGGAAATTTTATAACGAATTCAAAGGTGAGTGGCATTCCATCGTGTGATTATTATTTCCCATGGTTTGGATCAAAAAACCGCAATAAAAGTTGATTTTTCCGGATCCTCCGGATTTTGCCATTTTTCATAAGAGGTTAGTTCATCATTTTTGGCGAAATATCGACCAAATTGAAATTTTTTAGCTGTGAATGCCAATCGATTGGAAATTTTATAACGAATTCAAAGGTGCATGGCATTCCATCGTGTGATTGTTATTTCCCATGGTTTGGAACAAAAAACCGCAATAAAAGTTGATTTTTCCGGATCCTCCGGATTTTGCCATTTTTCATAAGGGGTTTTTTTTGGCGAAATATCGACCAAAATGAAATTTTTTAGCTGTGAATGCCAATCGATTGGAAATTTTATAACGAATTCAAAGGTGTATGGCATTCCATTGTGTGATTGTTATTTCCCATGGTTTGGATCAAAAAACCGCAATAAAAGTTGATTTTTCCGGATCCTCCGGATTTTGCCATTTTTCATAAGGGGTTAGTTCATCATTTTTGGCGAAATATCGACCAAAATGAAATTTTTTAGCTGTGAATGCCAATCGATTGGAAATTTTATAACGAATTCAAAGGTGTTTGGCATTCCATTGTGTGATTGTTATTTCCCATGGTTTGGATCAAAAAACCGCAATCCGGATCCTCCGGATTTTGCCATTTTTCATAAGGGGTTAGTTCATCATTTTTGGCGAAACATCGATCAAAATGAAATTTTTTGACTGTAAATGCCAATTGATTGGAAATTTTATAACGAATTCAAAGGTGTATGGCATTCCATCGTGTGATTGTTATTTCCCATGGTTTGGAACAAAAAACCGCAATAAAAGTTGATTTTTCCGGATCCTCCGGATTTTGCCATTTTTCATAAGGGGTTAGTTCATCATTTTTGGCGAAATATCGACCAAAATGAAATTTTTTAGCTGTGAATGCCAATCGATTGGAAATTTTATAACGAATTCAAAGGTGTATGGCATTCCATCGTGTGATTGTTATTTCCCATGGTTTGGATCAAAAAACCGCAATCCGGATCCTCCGGATTTTGCCATTTTTCATAAGGGGTTAGTTCATCATTTTTGGCGAAATATCGACCAAAATGAAATTTTTTAGCTGTGAATGCCAATCGATTGGAAATTTTATAACGAATTCAAAGGTGAGTGGCATTCCATCGTGTGATTATTATTTCCCATGGTTTGGATAAAAAAACCGCAATCCGGATCCTCCGGATTTTGCCATTTTTCATAAGGGGTTAGTTCATCATTTTTGGCGAAATATCAACCAAAATGAAATTTTTTAGCTGTGAATGCCAATCGATTGGAAATTTTATAACGAATTCAAAGGTGAGTGGCATTCCATCGTGTGATTGTTATTTCCCATGGTTTGGATCAAAAAACCGCAATAAAAGTTGATTTTTCCGGATCCTCCGGATTTTGCCATTTTTCATAAGGGGTTAGTTCATCATTTTTGGCGAAATATCGATCAAAATGAAATTTTTTAGCTGTGAATGCCAATCGATTGGAAATTTTATAACGAATTCAAAGGTGTATGGCATTCCATCGTGTGATTATTATTTCCCATGGTTTGGATAAAAAAACCGCAATCCGGATCCTCCGGATTTTGCCATTTTTCATAAGGGGTTAGTTCATCATTTTTGGCGAAATATCGACCAAAATGAAATTTTTTAGCTGTGAATGCCAATCGATTGGAAATTTTATAACGAATTCAAAGGTGTATGGCATTCCATCGTGTGATTGTTATTTCCCATGGTTTGGATCAAAAAACCGCAATAAAAGTTGATTTTTCCGGATCCTCCGGATTTTGCCATTTTTCATAAGGGGTTAGTTCATCATTTTTGGCGAAATATCGATCAAAATGAAATTTTTTGACTGTAAATGTTAATTGATTGGAAATTTTATAACGAATTCAAAGGTGTATGGCATTCCATCGTGTGATTGTTATTTCCCATGGTTTGAATCAAAAAACCGCAATAAAAGTGGATTTTTCCGGATCCTCCGGATTTTGCCATTTTTCATAAGTTCATCATTTTTGGCGAAACATCGATCAAAATGAAATTTTTTGACTGTAAATGCCAATCGATTGGAAATTTTATAACGAATTCAAAGGTGAGTGGCATTCAATCGTGTGATTATTATTTCCCATGGTTTGGATCAAAAAACCGCAATAAAAGTTGATTTTTCCGGATCCTCCGGATTTTGCCATTTTTCATAAGGGGTTTTTTTGGCGAAATATCGACCAAAATGAAATTTTTTAGCTGTGAATGCCAATCGATTGGAAATTTTATAACGAATTCAAAGGTGTATGGCATTCCATCGTGTGATTGTTATTTCCCATGGTTTGGAACAAAAAACCGCAATAAAAGTTGATTTTTCCGGATCCTCCGGATTTTGCCATTTTTCATAAGAGGTTAGTTCATCATTTTTGGCGAAATATCGACCAAATTGAAATTTTTTAGCTGTGAATGCCAATCGATTGGAAATTTTATAACGAATTCAAAGGTGCATGGCATTCCATCGTGTGATTGTTATTTCCCATGGTTTGGAACAAAAAACCGCAATAAAAGTTGATTTTTCCGGATCCTCCGGATTTTGCCATTTTTCATAAGGGGTTTTTTTGGCGAAATATCGACCAAAATGAAATTTTTTAGCTGTGAATGCCAATCGATTGGAAATTTTATAACGAATTCAAAGGTGAGTGGCATTCCATCGTGTGATTATTATTTCCCATGGTTTGGATCAAAAAATCGCAATATAAGTTGATTTTTCCGGATCCTCCGGATTTTGCCATTTTTCATAAGGGGCCTATGATTTCTGAAATAAATTTTTTTAGCTGTGTTGTAATATTTCAACCTTCATTTATTTTCAGCTTCTCTGACAGGAGTATCTCACGAAAGTTATTGGATGAATCTCACAAAGCTGGAGATCCCAACTGGATGCTAATCGACCACTACATAAACCTATAGCCTCGGGGAGGTCCGAGGGTCTAGCAAGACTATGTGGTGGACTGAGCTGGACTGCATTTTCATAATTTCAGGACTACGCGAGCAAAATGTCGGTGAGTGGCATTCCATCGTGTGATTATTATTTCCCATGGTTTGGATCAAAAAATCGCAATAAAAGTTGATTTTTCCGGATCCTCCGGATTTTGCCATTTTTCATAAGGGGCCTATGATTTTTTGCGAAAAATCGACTGAAATAAATTTTTTTAGCTGTGTTGTAATATTTCAACCTTCATTTATTTTCAGCTTCTCTGACAGGAGTATCTCACGAAAGTTATTGGATGAATCTCACAAAGCTGGAGATCCCAACTGGATCCTAATCGACCACTACATAAACCTATAGCCTCGGGGAGGTCCGAGGGTCTAGCAAGACTATGTGGTGGACTGAGCTGGACTGCATTTTCATAATTTCAGGACTACGCGAGCAAAATGTCGGGGAGAGCCAGCAGAAAGGAGCAAAACGAAGCGCAGTAAATTCCGATGCACTGGAATTTATGCAGCAAATATTAACTTGCCACACACTCAAACATACATAGTTATCATTAGATTAGCGTAATAATATTATCGTTTTAATATTATCGTAAGTTTATCTAAATCTATTATAATAAAGTTTTTAAATAAAAAAAACACTTGTTTTGCCGGTGATTTTTATGGGTTTCGGTTATGGGAGGTTGTTGCGGATGAAAAATACGGTCCACAAAACGCAAAACTAACACATACCATCGACAAAATATTGCATATGGACCACAAGAGATCCATATGGTTGAGTTAGAATTGCCTACATTTAAAGGCGCAGCAGCCTACTGGAATTTCTGTTCGCCTGGTATTTGAGTTCGAGAAATCTCCCAATTTCAGAGACAAATTAATTAAAAAACCAAATTTCATTGCAAATTTCTTGATTTGGTATACCAGGCGAACATAAATCTCAATAGGTGGCTGCAGACATGAAAAAAATCTGGATCCACATACGATCCACAAAATCTTCAATACAATACACATTCGATCCACATAGGATCCACAAAATATAAAACAAGAAAAGTGTGTGGATCGTATGTGTATTGTATGTGGATCGAATGTGGACTGTATGAAAGATTTTGTGGATTGTATGTGGATCCTGATTTTTTTCATGTCTGCAGCCACCTATTGAGATTTATGTTCGCCTGGTATACCAAATCAAGAAATTTGCAATGAAATTTGGTTTTTTAATTAATTTGTCTGTGAAATTGGGAGATTTCTCGAACTCAAATACCAGGCGAACAGAAATTCCAGTAGGCTGCTGCGCCTTTAAATGTAGGCAATTCTAACGTCTAATGCCGAAAGCGACCTCTGTGGGGCGATCTCGGAAAGTGCAATAATTGGCTGCCTGAAAGTATGCTACACTTTTTATGCAAAACAAAAATACCTTCAACCCAAAAGAGTGCTACAAGAACCCTTTCTTGTTTGAGTTAAAAAAAAACAATTTCCTTCTGATGAGCTTTTATTAGTCAATTCTTGAAAACAATAATACTTTATTGAAAAAGATTGCCACAATCGATGTCCAACTTTTTGAAGTTTCCCTCGAAGCGTAAAAGTTTTTAGGCATATTTGGCCTTGGCGGGTCCCAGTTTTTCGATCACCATATGACGCGTTCTTTTGTTTGGTGGAAAACTTTTTGTAGAAAATCCTGCAAAAAAAATTAAGTTATATTTTTAGGTATGATTTTTTATGAAATATATTATTTTAGTTACCATAAGCTTGACTTCTCCGCTAGACCGTTGTATCCCTGAAGAAACATTTTCTTAAGCACCAAGTTCTTCAGTGAAATCCATTCAATAATTATGTAGTTTGAGTATCCAAAATCTGAAAGTATTATAAATACATTAAATTAATAAAAAAAACTTAATAACTCAACTCGAGTATTGTTTTTTTCGGCGAGCCGAAATTCTTAATACATTTGCAGTTATGCTATATGTAAGTAGTCAGATCGACAAGATTTTTACCATGACGAATTGTACCCGATTATAGCAATTTAGCAACAAAAGGTCATGGCTGTAGCCATTTTAAGGTCATGTCTTATAAGACCTAAGTTAGAGTACATACCTCTTACATTAATAATCAATTCAAATGTTTTAAAATCATAAATTAATTATTTAAACTTTCGGTTTTCCTTGCCACAGGCGATTTTTCTGAGGGTTTTCAGAAACCACAAAGAAATCAGTTTTATTATTTTTTTTTCGATTTTTTCTATGGAAGATCCGACTTATATTATACCTGCACTAGAATGAACATTTTTGGAAAGATTCATCCTGATAGATAGTTAGTAGTAATTTTAGTAGTAATTTATGGTGGGCGGAGAGCATTTGTGCCGAAATCAGTTTCACCATCTGGTAACACTGCAACTGGGCAATTGTTTATATCTGAAACGTAATAGAAAAGCGCATAGTTTATTGAACAATACACGAAGCACAATAAGCTCATCCCCGGCAGATATGAACGAATCGGTGCGCTACGACCGTGGTCACCAGGTGCAGCTTGGTGTCATTAACAAGTCTCGGGTATCCTCCGCCGAGGAGGATGCCCAGAGTCTGCCGCCGCAGGGAACGGGCAACGTAAGTGTGTCGCCTTGTTTTGATTCGCCTGACTCATTATTTTCTTGGTGCCATTACGTGTTTTTGCATTCCCACTCCGAAGATCTTGTTCACCCACGACGGCGTGCTGCTGAAAAAGGCCAGCGCGGAGCACATCGCGGACCTAAACACCAGTGGGTCCCTGTCCCTGGTGGAGTACTCGTGCTCCTCCGCAGATGTGCCTCGCAGGAGACTACTACTTGAGTGGCAGCCCAACGACAGCATCATGATAGCGGATGACAGCCAGGACCAGGGGGACTGGGCGCTGGTTGACAGGATTTCCGGGAGAACTCGCACTACCTCCGAGTGCCGCGCTTTCAACACGAAGCCCAGCGAAGCAAGTGGCGGAGCTGGAGCCATCCGCTCGCGAGTCATGCGTGCCCAGCTCGAGGACTTGGCCTCCGTGGAGGTTCGCCACCGTGGCCAGACCATCCGCCTTATGCGCAAAGCCGGTGGCGTCCACAGCGAGTTCTTCTTCCAGCACGGGAACGCAGACCTCTTTGTGCGCTCGATGCGCGATCTGCACTTCATCGAATGCGCCGAGACCAGTCGCAATGGCGGCGAGGAGTATGCCATCTTGACTACCGAGAACCAGAAGCTGAGAAAGACTTTTGCCGAACTCGACATTGGCCAAATAAAATCTAGCCATTTGCCGCGTGACAGCTGGCTGCCCAACAAGCTGGCCGGATTCTTGGGAAATATTCCTGACTACGTGCAGCCGCCGTTCCAGCGCTCACCCAAATCCCGTCCAGGAGTCCTGATCTCCGGCGACCGGCAGACGGCGCCGGACAACTATCAGATCATAGGGCTAAGTGGCAGCACCAACAGTGCCTGCTCCTCTAACGGACAGAGTCGCGGGGGAAGTGCGGAAAAGTCTCCCGCTGACAGTGAGCTGGAGAACCTAAATGCTCAGGATGAGAAAATAGTCAACAACTTGCCGGATCGACAGCGAGTGGAGCGAGGTGTGTTGGTATATTGCGGGGAAACCAGACAATGTATCATTTCCAAAGTTAAATTATCGAAAGTCATATCCTAAAAGAATATTCTGCACTTATAGATAATAATAATCATGGAATACTAGTTGTTTGACTTTGATCAATGATTTACCTTTATTTTTGCAGGCTCTCCTCTCACCGAGTCGCAGTGGCTGGAGTTCCAAACGACCGACGGGCGCATTTTGGAGAGCGTCCGTATTAAGAAGCTCATCTTCCGGGGCGGTATTGTGCACAGTCTCCGGGCAGAGGTGTGGAAATTCCTTCTCAACTACTATCAGTGGTCCGATACCCAGGTGGAGCGTATCGAGCGCCGAAAGCAAAGGTCAATGGAGTACTACAACATGAAGGCCCAGTGGCTGGCCATGACCACGACTCAGGAGGCGAACTTCTGCGGATACCGGGAACGCAAGTGCCAGATCGAGAAGGATGTGAAGCGCACAGATCGCTCGCTGCAGTTCTTCGCTGGCGAGGATAATCCCAATCTGGCCCTGCTGCAGGGCATCCTCATGACTTACGTGATGTACAACTTCGATCTTGGCTACGTCCAGGGAATGTCCGATTTGCTCGCGCCCATTCTGGAGATCCAGGTTAACGAGGTGGACGCCTTCTGGTGCTTCGTGGGCTTCATGGAGCTGGTTTTCACAAACTTTGACATGGACCAGGCGGGAATGAAGACTCAATTCGCCCAGGTCCGCCGCTTGATTGAGTTCGCTAATGCTCCGCTATTTAACTACATGCGCTCTCACGACTCGGACAACATGTACTTCTGCTTCAGATGGCTGCTGGTCTGGTACAAGCGGGAGTTGAGCAACGAGGATGTTATAAAGTTGTGGGAGTGTCTCTGGACTCGGCTGCCTTGTCCCAACTTCCACCTGCTCTTCTCGGTGGCCATCCTGGACCAGGAGACGAGCGTGATCATTGACAGCCAGTATGAGTTCACAGAAATACTTAAGCATGTCAACGAACTGTCTGGAAATATAGATGTTCAAAAGACTCTGCAGATTGCCGAGGCCATCTACTTGCAGCTCAAAGCCTCGGAAACGCTGCCAAATGACATCCGCTGCATCATAGGGGAACCACTACTGCCATTAGCTGCCGGCGAGGAGGTTGACGGTGGCATGGTAGATGAGGAACCTGCCTACTCGGATGATGGATTCGATGAACTGGTAAGGGAGCTCACTCCCGAGGAGAAGCTTCGACAGCAGACGTTACTGGAAGAGGCCTGCGAACGTTCCCTCTTCCTGCAGTTCCATTAATGTAAACGGGACCACATTCGGCCACAAGAAACCTAGCCAAATGCCCTTAGCAGAACATGCGCAAATTACACTGCCCTTTAAGTTTATTTGCGAACAAAGTTATGTTTGGGGTTGCCACTTAAGGGTCGAGTCTGTTAGCTGCGGTTTTTATAAATTTGTTGTTAAAGAAAAGAATCCTATGAGAAACCGACTGCTTTCATATTAATGGAGGAGAAAATATTTAATAATATTTTCCGTGTTCAACACGAGGTTCCCATTAGCATCCAAAAAAATCATGTCTTTGTTTAACAACAGCTTAACTTATAGGGCAGTGTTATCTTAAACATTAAGACTCAAAGTTTACCAACGCATCGAAGCAAAGCGAAGCGAGCCAAGCCAAGTGCTTTAACTGCTGATACACAGATTTATATATTGTATATTATACATATTTGTACGTTTTTGTATTTATTGTAAGTTATTTTCCAAACATACACCACTCTACCCCCATCTCCTCCCTATTCGATCACTTTAAGTACACCAAAACCACTACTTTAATTATATAGAATTTAGTTCTCGTGCCTGTCGAACGCGAAACATTTAAGGTATCCCCTTTTCAGTTAATCGGAATTTCACACGCCCAGCTTTTGTTGTTGTTTTCTAAGTTGGAAAAATTACTGTGAATATACACCGATATACAAATACATTACAAATGCGTAGTAAAAGTATCTAAATACAACACCAGGTTGCATACGAAAATCCGTTGTTCCTAATCAGCTTTTACTGGGAAAAAATTATATTGGGACTTGGTTTAATAAACTGATCGATGATAATCCGCATAGGACGTTGATAATGTTTAATTTTGTGCTTTGAACAATTGTTCAGAACTTTCATGCTGTGATGTTTGTTGTTTACTAGCACTCTATGATAATCCCGAGCCACACCTGCCTTAAATGTATATGTTTCAATAACTAATGATATTAAACTTACCAAATCCTGGTCAAATTAGATATCCTCGATATTTAGTTTTTTTTTTCAATTTTTGCTTGAGAATCTTCAATACGTTGGTACTGTAACATCCCGTCCGATGGCAGTAATTCTTCTTCTTGAATCATCCATTAATAACTTTAGATTTGTTGAAATTTTTAAAATTTTGTTATATATTTATTTATCATCAATATCAATAGTTGATGCTTGCTTGTTTACTTGCTGTTCTTGCTGTAGTTTCTTTTTCTGGTTGATGTTGCTTTTGTTTCTTGTTCTGCAGTTAAATATATATTTTAATTAAGAGTTATACTTACAAGTTAAGTATGCAATATATGTTGCTTGTTTGTTTAGCTTTCTTCTCTTTTTTCTGTGTGGTCTTGTTACCGTTTTTAAACTAATCGTTCTCGTAAAGTGCGAGCAAAAGAAATCCATAATTCGTTTAACTGATTTGAATAATTATGCAAAATTATTGCATTACTGCTCATCAAACGTGCAAGTTTCATATTCTCCGATTCTCAATTACATTAAAATTGATTTAATTAAAAAATTCTATTTTTCAATAAACACTTTGCATTTGTTAGTTACGTGCCTGGTCTGTTGTAGTTTTTTTGTTCTTTAGGGGACAGATGAGTTTGTTTTAAAACATACAAATTACAAGAAATTAAAATCTACTCTTGAAGGATTGTTTCTTGCCATATGCGTTCCAATCCCTTCACTTTCACTAATTACAAAATTAAAATTATCAAAATTACACGCAGTTTTCGTGGGACACACAGAGAGAGTAGAGAGGACATAACACAATACAACATAGTAAATGGTAGAGGTGTGGAAAATGATTCAGTATGAGAATACATGGTGCCTTACTATATTAAAAACCGTTAAGCAATACGAGAGCCATTTAAAGATTATAAATTATGTACAGGTATCATATATAAAGACTGCATGTGTGAGGACAGCGCAGGAAACCCAAGTATCTGTGTCTCTTCTTGTTAGGTGTGTATGGATATAGTCTATTATCTAAACATTTTTGATGCCGCTTATTAATTATGTGGTTGCAATAATTTAAACGGATAATCTTCATGCAGCAGCACTTTGCTTCTCTCGTTACAATTAAATTATAAGCGTTTTTTTAAATATGTTCGTAACTGTGTGAATATTTAAGCAGCCATAGGTAGGAAAACGATTGATTAATCAAGCTCCATTTAAGCAGCGATGGAACTTGAGTAATCCAACTATTGGGAGTGATGCTTAGCCCTCCAATTCAGACGGTTTTGCAGCAGTGTCCGACTGCAGGGCGTTGCAACAAACCACAATCCGCTCTTCTACATTGGCTCTATATATAGTTTTTATAGGCTTCTTATACTTTACACAACTTTAAGCTTAAGGGATCTAGTGGTAACAATAAGCCTAGCATTAGATTTTCGCCTCGATCTTGTTTGCATATGCATCAGCTGGTTCCTCATCATCTTTCTATTCTTGATTCTCTGCATCTGTTGTGGTGGCTGTCCAGTGGTGCTGGTGGCTCCTCCTCCGCGTGATTTTCCCCTCCTCTCCGGAGGACCCGTGTCATCCTGCTAGCGCTGGCGCTCGGATCTGCGCAATACTCATTCATTCCGCTCCTCCGCTCCTGACTCGCTTCCTGCAGAAAGATTTAGCGTGCTGGCATCCGCCGAGGAGCGTGTATGTCTAGTAGATCGCAGCTCCCGTCGCTTCTCAGGCGGCTGTCCTTCCACGGAGCTGGATCCTTGTTCGTTTCCAGACCTCGGACGCTTCAGGCGGTTCGATGAGCGTCGATTCTCTTCGGCTGCCGCTGCAGCCGCCGCCGCGGCAGCAGAACTGGAGGATGAGCCACTAAGATTACCGGATGAAATGTTTCCAGCTGTATCCAGATCCTCCACGCTTCCGCCATGACTACTGCCTGGATTGGCAGTTGTCGGCTTTTTGAGTATGGGTTGTATAATCAGCTCATCGGCTTCTTCGTAAGGCGGCGGTAGTTTCGCTGCATCCGCTGCGTTGGTGATAGTTAGAGATATGCGCGACTCGGAGCGTTCCGAACGCTCGCTGCTAGTGCTGGCTCCACTGCTGATGGGAGGAGCTATGGTTATTGTTGTTTGACTCGGCAAGTTGGCCGCCAGTCCCGCAGCAGCTGCTGAACTGGAAGTGGAGCTTCCTGAACCACCTCCAGAGGCGTTCAGGGGCGTCAATGTAACCTTATCTTGTTCCGCAGACATAGGCGCTGGTGTAGAGCTGGTGCTGGAACTACTTCCGCCTCTTAGACTCTTCTCTATGCTGCTCATGCTAGCTCCCAGGTTCAGGGGAAGTCCAGCAGCAAGGGCAGCGGCGGACAGTTCCTCCTTTGTAGGATGTATATCACCACGTGAGCGTTTGGAGAGCGCCTTCTGTTGCTGCTGATGTTGTTGCTCAGCATCCAAAGCTGCAGCGTAAGCTGCTGCTGCTGCGGTCGCGGAACTGGAGGATGTGGAAGATCCTCCCGCCGAGGAGGTGGGTATCAGCGAGATTCCTGATCCCAGGCCCAGGGTCTTGGTGTAGTAATCCATTTGTTGTTTAAAGGCATCCTGCTCACGCTGTCGTTTTGAAGACGAGTGGCTGCCACTTCCTGAGGCAGAGGAGCCTCCTCCACCGGCTCCTCCAGCAGAGCCACCAGTTAAGCCAGCCAAACTGGCTAGGGAACCAGGACCACTAAGAGGCAGCGATCCGCCGGCAGCCGCCATCGCCTGGGCAGCCATTTCAGCTAAAAAGGCTTGTGAGAAATCACTGGACATTCCAGGGATTTGTGGCAGTTGTGACGCCACCGCCGCTGCTGCAGACTTCGAGCTCTTGCTCGAAGAAGTAGATGTTCCCGTATTGGAGCTGGACGTCGAAGGCATTTTGGACTGCGAGAAGGCTTGCAGGGCAGATAAATCCGCAGGCAGGGCTCCGCGGGTCAGACTCTCAAACCACTTCTGCTGTTCCTTTGCCTGAGCGTTGGCTTCATTAGCTGCTTGGCTAGACCTCTTGCTTGAAGATGAGTTTCCTGCTCCGGAAGAGCTGGAAATTCCTGGAAGTGGAGGCATTCCCAGTGAACTCATCAATCGAGTTGCTTGCGCCAAATCCATATTGCTCATGCGACTCAGCGATTCGAGAAGATGCGGATCCGCTCCTGGCATGAGTAAGCTACTCAGTTGAGCCATGTCTGCCGCTGTGGGTGTGGTTTGGGATTGGTTTCTGCTGCTCGACTGCCTGCCTCGTCCGGATCCTGATGCTGATGTTGAAGCCGTGGTTGCCGTGCTTGCTCCTCCGCCCATGCTGGCCATAGCATTCATTAGGCTAGCTGCTGAGTTGGCTGCCGCTGAGGCGTTCCTAGACTGACTGGCCTTTGATTGCGACTGATGGGATTTAGACTGCGTTGAATTCGTGTTTGTGGCGGATGAAGTGGCTCCATTTAGCAGATTATACTGCTGGGCCAGCTGATCATATGCAGAGCCCAGCCCACTGGATCCCAAAGAATAAGGATTAAGCCCACCCAGTCCCATGGGCGGATACAGTAACGAAGGATTCGGGAACAAAAAGGGGAAGCCGGCAGCCAGCTGGGATGCAGAAGCTGCTGCATTCTTGCCACCAGCTCCGCCAGAGGATCCTCCTGTGCTAGCGCTGATGGCAGCCGCCAATTGAGCAGCTTCATTTTGCGCCTGCTGTTGAGCCTGTTGTTGTTGCTGCTGTTTTTTCTTGCTGGCCGAAGAGGATGAGGAAGCACCGGATGAGCCACCGCCGGACTGCGACTGCACCTGGCTCTTACCGGAACCCGCTCCTCCGGAAGCACCAGTCAATCCGCCTAGAGTTGGTCCGGCAGCAGCCATAAGTGCAGCCAGCGACTGGGTGTCCATCCCCGCTAGATTTCCCAATCCTCCCATTCCCGCCAAGCTTGCAAACAGGTTCATGTTGTTTAGGTTACCTAGTCCAGGAATATTACTCATTCCGGGCATTCCTCCGAATGACATAGAAAGCAGCGGGTTCTTGGGATCAAAAGCTGCCAGAGGATTTTTGGGATCAAAAGCTCCCAGTCCAGCCAGCAGGCTGGGATTCAGACCAGCTAGAGACCCAAATTGTAACGCAGCTTGATCTAGAGCAGCTGATGCTGCCGTTTGCTGACGGGATGACTTTTTGGATGTGCCAGAGTTACCACCCGCTGACGACTGAGTTGATGACTGTTGCTGTTGTTGGGTATGGGAAGAGGATGAGGCGTTACTCGAGTTGGACGACGGGCGACCGCCATGGGACTTTACTGCCGAGGAGCCATAGCTGCTATCCATAGATGTGGGTTTAGGAGACGGTGCTGACATGGGATTTTGCATCTGTTCCAGCCACTTTGGATCCACTTCGTAGTTGGGGTTTTCCGTGAGCCTAAAAGTATGATTATGGGTATTTTGGGCTAAATAATATATTGCTTTCTCCCACACTCACCATTGCATGAGCCGCTTGAGCTGCGGCGCCTTGTTTCCTCCCAAACGCTTGCCAGTCTGCTTATTGATCACGGGTACAGGCTCCTCTCCTGTTAGATTCTGCGGCCCTGATATTGAATGTTGCTGCTGTTGTTGTTGCTGCTGTTGTTGTTGTTGTTGCTGCTGCTTCTGCAGCTGGGCAGCACTTGGGGACTGTTGCGAAGAGCTGCCCTGCTGGCGGTTGGAGCGCCGGCTGTTGGCACTCCCAGAACCACCAGCTCCGCCTCCGCCCACGTAATCAATGCTGAGCTGGTCGCCCAGTGGACTTGACATGTCTGAGAGCCACTTGTTGACCTTGACGTCGTGCGGGGAGTTGGTCGAAAACTTGGAGCTTATCTTCATGGCCTGCTCCATCTCGGCAAGCATGCTCTCGTACGCCTTTCGTTGGACAGGCGGCAAAAATTGCATCATCTTCTGCTGCTGCTTGAGGAACGTTTGCGGATCGGTTGACATTGTCTGATTCAGAAGGGCGTTCAAACTGTCCTTGGAGGACAGACCTCCCATTGCCATGTTCTGAAGGGCGCTCAGCCCGCTGCCGCCGGCTCCTCCGCCGCTGGCCGATGAGCTTCCTCCGGCGCCGGATCCACCGCTGGACGATCCGCCCTTGGACTCTACAAGAGAAAGATACATTCGATTAGTCGGGAATTCTTGTAGATTGGTGCCAATCCTTGGGCTGTGAATAAATAAAAGCGCAGAGACTCAAACTCACTTCCGGGCACTGTGGTAACAGTGATGGTAAAGGGTTTCTGGTTAGACTGCTGGCTGACCGACGATTGCAGATTCGCCGGCGTAACAGACACGCTTGGCGGGATTTGCGGCTTCTTTGAGGATGGCAGCGATGGATCAGGGAAGGTCTTTTGCTCTTTGGCCGCTGATAGGCCGAGCACGATCTCGTCCAACTTCTTGCGCTTTTTCTCCTTGCCAATCACAGGCTCTTCTATTGTCTGAAATGAATGACGTTAAATAATATGTTTTAACTAATGGAATAAAGTACACATTTATTTTAATGACATACAAATTAAATGAGTTGTCGGGTTATAAAACTTACACAATTGTTCTTCTTCATTAGTTTGTTGAGCGTGTCGTCAAGTTTGCTCTTGCTGCCCATTGAGGGAAATGCGGAACTAAGAGCAGCATGCACGCTGGATTTCTTAGAGGGCATAGAAAAGTCCTGCACCTCGCTCAAGTCGATGGCTCCCCCACTAGAGGCCGACTTTAGCATCTCCGTCATGTTCATTTTCGGCAGGCTGCTAGGTGGAATGTCAAAAATAAAAGTAAATAATAAATCATAACCTATGTTTGTGAACCCACCTTGAGGACAGATCCATGGGTGTGCCCATCGAAGGAGGAGGTGTCTTTAGGGCGGGGATAGCTGGTTTGCTGAACTGACCGGAGGACTGCCGCGAGAGCGAAGCATGTTGGTGAGCTGGGGGAGGCTGCATACCACTCAAAGCAGAGGAAGAGTTACCTCCTCGACCACGGCCAGAGGAACCAGTCAATGCCTCCATGTTGGCTATCTCACTTTCCCAGTCTTTTGGTGCCACTTCAATGAAAATAGGATTCATTAGTAAATAGTAAATAAACAGTAATTATTTAAGATTTAAAAATGTTTAGTCTTAGGTGCACTTACTTGTCGAACTGTTGAGCAGGGCGTGCAATTTAGCCCTTTCCGTCTCTACGTCGATGGCGATGTGTCGCTTGCGCTTCTTGCCCACTCCTGATCCCGAACTTGGGACGCTCAGTCCGCCCACTCCACCGGCTGACGTGCCAGATGCCGCACTCAGCGACATTCCAGGGAGTAGGGAAGATAAGGAGGTGGCATTTCCACCCGCTGCAGCCGCAGCAACGGCCGCCGCCACTGCAGCATTGATGCTATTCGCATCCAAACCAGGTAAACTGGTGGCTGACAAGGGCTTTGATTGGGTGACCTGGGGCATTCCCGAGGAGGCAGATGAAACGGAAGACGAACTGGCCACCTGCTGCATCTGCGAGGCCTGCAGGTGCTTCGTCACACCCTGATCCGTAGTGATGGTAATCACATCGGGTGTTGTGGAGCGACGCTCCAAACTGCTCAGGTGAGGAATAGATTCGTGAAGAGCAATGCTCAGATCAGTGGCTCCCTTGCAGCTGGCAAAAGCACTATACTTGCTATCCACCGGCCACTTTCCAGACTCGACGCAGGACACGATGTGCGCAATGCGGCGCTCCAAAGCGAAATCCTTGAACCAACGAATCATGCACATCTCTAGCTTGGGCTTCTCCAGCTTTTGCTGTTTCACCGTCGCGGGTTGGATTACTTCCAGATCCGGGAAGCGGGCTTTCAGTTCGGCCGCCTGCTTCTTGCATTCTTCTTCCACTGCTTTTTCTTTTTCCTTCATCACCTCGTCATCATCGGGATCTGTAGGTCCTGTCACCAAGTCAAGTATTTCCTGGTCTCCAGTCGGTTTCTTGTGAGCTGTTTCCTCAGATTCAGCTGGAATAGGAGACTTCTCAGAAGGCTCAGCTTCGGTAGGTTTCATCTCTATTTCCATATCTTCTGATTGCTTCTTAGACGGTTCTTTTAATTCTTCAGCTTTTTCTTCATCAGTCTTTACAGCAGCCTTATTTTCAGATTCCTTTTCGGAAAATTCCGAATCTTTAGTGGATTTTTCTTCTACTTTGGAAGCCATTTCCTCCAACTCTATTTTTGAGCCCTCTTCTTCAGCAGTTTTTCTGTTATCTTCCAAAGTATTCTCTTTTTTCTCAGTGGATTTCTCTGTAGATCCTTCCTTCTCCTGACCATTTTCGGCTATGGCTAACTCCTCATCTCCTATTTTTTCTTCACTGGGCTTGGTTTCATCGGCTTCTGAGACCAATTTTTCATTGGTGGATTTATCCTTATCCAAATTTTCAGTTTCGTCTTCCGCGTTTTTCTCTGAGGCTTCCTCCTTTAAATCTTCTTCATCCTTGACCTCAGCTTCAATCTTTCTAGACTCTTCGGTCTCAGATATTTTTGCTTTGGTACTGACACCAGTGTCTGGGTTCTTTTCTCCGCTCTCCTCTGCTTTAATTTCATCTTTTACGGGAGAAGCAGATGTTTCCTTCTTAATGACACTCTCGTCTGTCATGAGTTCATCATCCAAATCTATAACCTCATTTTTGACCGAAGCTGCCTTTTCTGCTGCTGCCTTTTCAGCTGCCGCTGCTTTCTCAGCTGCCGCCAATTTCTCTGCCTTCTCAGCATTGAAAGCTTCCAGCTTGATGGTGCGCTGGATTTGAGCTTCCAACTCTCGAATAAAACGCTTTTCTGACTCTCCAAAACTAAAGTTTGGATCATTAAAGATAAAGGTTTCCGAGCGATAGAGACCGTGCTTAAGGACGGCAGTGATCAATTCCTTGTCGTGGCGGCCAGGCTCCCACCAATCGGGGGTATCACCATTCATAGTGCAGAGTTTAAGGCGTTCCTCGAGTAAGGGATTACGAGCGACTTCTCGCAGCTTGGCAAGAACTTCCAGACGATCTAGTATGAGCTTGGCGTGCTCCTTTTCGATTTCCTCGATGATACTTTCTAGACCTCTCTCCGATTCTGCGAGCTTCAAACCTGCCTGCCGCTTGCACATAGCCACAAAGACCTTATAATAATCCGTCAATGTTTCATCGCTCTTTCTTTCCAAATGAGCCATCTGCTTGAACTTTGTCCAGTCGGGTGATAGGGAACTTCCACTGCTCGAACTCATTGGTGTGGAGAGGTGTAGGTCTACGCCATATCCAGTAAGAACTCGCAGAAATTCGTATTCCTCGCGGCGGTTCCACTTCTTCGGGATGAGCTGCAGGCGCTGGGACTCACGCTCCTTGGCCGCCAGTTCCATTTTGCCCTGCCGCTCCATTTTCTGTAAGAGTGGTAAAAATAAGAAAATGTATTATACATATATAAGCATATGCATAAACATGTACATTAAGGTCGAACAAAAAAAAGCTTCTCACCGTTTAAAACGTTTAAGCTTATCCAAAATTCATTACATTTTATTTCAAGTACTAGAAAAAAAAATACACTTTCTCCCATTTGAACCATCTCAAACTCATTGATCTCGTTTAAATGAGAGTCAAAGCTTGGAGAACACAAAAGAAAATATGGTTTTGGATGTAAGTTCATTCACTATTTTTAGATACGAAAACTTCTCAGAGGGCATACTCAATTGAATTTTTTTTTTCAATTTATACTTTTATAATTTACAAACACTTTCTGGAAATAAGATAATTACTTGCTAACTATGCTATGACTCAATAGATTAGGTGATGTCTGATCCGCCTGCATCGGCCGTTCTGGTTCATTTTTATACCCTTGCAGAGGGTATTATAATTTCAGTCAAAAGTTTGCAACGCAGTGAAGGAGACATTTCCGACCCTATAAAGTATATATATTCTTGATCAGCATCACCAGGAGAGTCGATCTAGCCATCTCCGTCTGTCCGTCCGTCTGTCCGTCCATCTGTCCGTCCGTCTGTCCGTCCGTCCGTCCGTTTCTACGCAAACTAGTCCCTCAGTTTTAAAGCTATCTGCTTGAAACTTTCCCAAAAGTTGTCTTTCTATTGCAGGTAGTATATAAGTCGGAACGAGCCGAATCGGGGGACTATATCATATAGCTGCCATACAACTGAACGATCGGAAAAGCCATAACTTTGGTGTTTGTTAAGTTAGGAAGTTGGGATTTTCTATGGGTTTTATTTATCATATAGCTGCCATACAACTGAACGATCGGAAAAGCCATAACTTTGGTGTTTGTAAAGTTAGGAAGTTGGGATTTTCTATGGGTTTTATTTTTGGCCAATAAATCCGACCTACCAAATTTCATAAGGATCGGCCGACTATATTCTATAGCTGCCATATAACTGAACGATTGAAAATGCCATAACTTTGGTGTTTTTAATGTTAGGAAGTTGGGATTTTTTATGAGTATTAAGAATGCATCATATGAATAATTTTGGAGAATATAATTTATAGAATATTCTGCAAGGGTATATCAACTTCGGCTCCGCCCGAAGTTAGCTTTCCTTTCTTGTTTTTTACTTAAGTTCAGAGATAAGATTAAATCAACTACGTCGCAATCAAAGTTATAATGTGCGTTTAACAATCTTAAGGAATTAAAAAGAATTAAATTACATCTAATTAGGTCAGTTATTAAATAAAGCTTAGATAATATTTTCATAAAATAATTCATTGGGTCATTAATCTAAAAAATATCTTTGTTGAGTTAATCAAATTATCCACTACAGTGAAATAAGCAGGAAAAAAATGATGCAAGTAATTTTAAAGAAAAATTTTAAGAAATTTTTAATTCCGTTTCTAACAGACAAGAAATAAACCTTAGTAGGTGTTTTTCTCATTTATTGGCGACTTGCCTCTTGATTCCCCAATGTGTCATAACATTTATAAAATGTAACGAGGACGGAAGCTAACTTCGGCAAGCCGAAGTTTTAATACCCTTGCAGACTTTGCCGAAATTGCAAAAAGTGAAAAAGTAGCGAAAGGAATAAGGTATACATAAGTAAACTAGATTTGTATCGTTTCAAGTCAATTGCTTTTATACTGCAAAAATGTCATATACAAATAGAAAAAAAGGGATACTTTCGCAGCCTTTAACAATTTTTCCTATCTCCTTTAAGTGATAGACTACCGAGCGGCAAGCGCTTTTACCCTAATCAAGATATGCGTAAATAAATAAGAATTGGAAAAATTTATATTAGTAGCTTACACACTGCGCAAAATATTCTGATAATCGTCAAATTTGGACCGATTTCACCCTATTGTTCCTATGGGAACTATATGATATAGACGTCCGATCGGCACGCGCTTTCACCTTGATCAATGTATGCATAAAAAAATAAGAATTTTTTTTTTTTATGTCAATAGCTTTTACACTGCGCGAAATATCTTCCAATCTTGCAAGTTATATCCGATTGTTCCTATGGGAGCTATAGGATATAGACATCCGATCGGGGCGGTTTTTAAACTTGATCTGCGTACACTTGTTTTAGGACGACTGTGAAAGTTTCAGATCGCTAGCTTTTAAACTGAGCTCGCAAACGGTATTGAAACAGACGGACATGGCTATATCGACTCCCCTATTGATCCTGATCAAGAATATATATACTTTATAGGGTCGGAAACGTCTCCTTCACTGCGTTACAAACTTCTGACCAAAATTATAATACCCTCTGCAAGGGTATAAAAAAGGAAACAGTTACTTGTTTCTTATGTTATTAAGGTAGTGATTCAATAAAATTACCAAGTATACAACTTTTGCAATGTATCTCAGCAAGTTTCCTAAAGTTGGGTATCTTGTGAATACATATATTTCCACAATAATCCACACATAAAGAGAACACCCCGACGTGTGTGCATTTTGCAAGTGCAAATTCATTACGAATATTTACACAATTTTGTTGAAAAAAGAATTGAAACGCGTTCACCATGAACGACCCTTTGCCATCGCTTCTCCCTTCTCTGCTTCCCAAGAGGGTGGGATCACCCAGCGCGTCTGTGCCTTGGGGTGGTGGCGATAGGGTGAACTCCCTCATCGCCAGCACCAACAACTCTATATGCTAGACTACTGGTTTTCGAATTACACACAAATTTTTGCGAAAGGCAAAAACAACAGAGACGCTCACGGAAAGACAAAATGCGAATGGCAAGCCCAAAATGAAAATGAGAGCTAGACAAAGGTACAAAGAGAGAGAGAGAGAGGCAACCAAACTGAAAATACAATAAAATCATAATAATAAAAGTAAAAAATCCATTTTACACCCCTAATAATGCTACAGCGGGAGGACAGAGGCTAAAGGGCGACGGCAACAGAGAACGAGATGGAAATAGAGACACGGCGCAATGAGCACGGGGACAAGTACGCTGTACTAAGCAATGGCGCCCAAAAGAAGAAGCAGGCGAAGGAGTCCGAAACAGCGACGACGACAAACAAATGAGTCCTGTGAGACCAAATGCAAGCCCAGCAGCCAAGGGACCCCCATATTCTTTTTATGTCTCCTAACCCGATACCAATAATAATTGGGGCATACACGGGCGTAAAGACAGAATCCGAGAATATCGTAAGGGGACCCAGTGGACAACGTAGTAACAGCAATCGGGATCCCCAATACGAAGAAGCATCCTTACCTATTTAAATTTTTAAAATAACCTATCTTTGAGAGCGTTTTTTTCCTCATTTTTTGTCGACCTGGCTCTTAATGTCCCACATGTTGTGGCATAACATTTATAAAAATTATAACAATTACTTCTTATCAACAGCAATCAATTAAGCAAATTAGTTACCATTTGCAGCTACCTCTCTACTCGACAAATAAATGCAGAAGCAGAACGCAATCTTTTCATGGATTTTATAAGCGAATGTGAATGGGCAAGATATATTCCGTTTGGGCCGGGCCCGAAAAAAGGATGCCAAGTGGCGCGTAGGTTGGCAGCCCCGTTTGCCGTGTCGCGTCAGCGGCTCCTTCTGTTTCCCTGTTTCTGTTTATACAGCTAACGGCTTTTTTTTTAATACTCCTACCACCCCCACCGCCAAACCCCCAGAAGCAGCCAACGAACGATGGAATGACGAAATCCGAAAAGGGGGACAAACAAAAACAAACGACAAAAGAAGATAAAGCGAATCGAGACCTCTTCGTTCCTTACGAACTATCCATCCGCCTCTCGCTCATACCTATTGCCAGCTGGCAAACTATCCATCTCTCTTGCTCTCCGTCACCGCCGGCGCATTTACACGATACAAGTGCGAGGCGACTCGAGCGATTGATTATGATTATTAGTAGAACCGATGGCTATGGCTGTGACTATATAGCAATGGCTGCCTCTGTGACTTTGTCTTGGAGACGGTAGGCAAAGGGCGGGAGGGTGAATGAGAGAAAGGGGAGCAGTAAGGAGCCGCGGAAAAACGAATTTAAATGAGCGCCGCTTGGAACAGTCAGCAAACAGATACAACACGAGTACTAATGCCCACAGTGATGGTCAAAATATTAGACAGAGCCTTAGAAATTTTTGCCATACTGTGTGAACGTGCATTTATTTTTTATTTAACTAAAATAATATGATAAAATTTCAAGGATAAAATGTATCGATGGTGATACTTGAAATGTTGAGGCTAACAAAATAAGTCAAACTATCATAATATTGACTTAATATGACATTATGTTTTACATTCCTCGCCATATATTTTTGTTAACTTAATTTAAATACCTGCTTTACCCGTGATTGGGTCACACGGGGTTAAAATACCAAGAGCGTAGTTCTAATCTGTTTAAAACATAATTTGACTGAAGTCTAAATGTAAATGTTAAATATGTTCCACTACCAATTGTAAAGAGAAGGTACTGACCCTGCTATTATTTTGACCGCAGGTGTCTGCAGGGTCTTCTTCTTGCTCCTCAGTTTAACTTTACACATGCTACTCTGCTACTCCCCCCTCCCAGACACACACACAGAAATCCCTTTCTCCACCCCTTCTTCTTAAGCGTATAAAGTGGCAACGACGGCGGCGACGTTTTCGTTCTTCGTTCATGTGAAATCTATAGGCACAAATTTATTGTTTTGTATTTTCGCTCGCTGCACGGCGAATTGAGAACGGTAGGGAGCTAGCAGACCCTACTGGTCCCCCTTTTTCTCTTACTCTCGCATTCTTGAGTCTCGTTTACTTTTTTCTTGATCTGCTGCCTACACACATTCTGCATTGCATATTCTCTCTGCACTTTTGCATTCTCATTTTAATTAAGAGATGTATTGTATACCCGTAAATAAATTGTCATCTCATCGCAATAGTTGTATTTTTTCATTTACCTCCAAATAAATGGCATTTCCATTGTTTAATGCTGTTGGCACTGTT